ACTTATCTGATGTTTTCCCCTCTTTCTTGCGTTGTTGAGTTCTCATACTCTAGCCCAGTCATTACATTGACCTTCTGCTGTGCGCTGAATTTCAAGGCCTTGCCTTCTAACTCCTTGAAAACCCCTGTGATAGCATCTTTGTGTCCGTGCTGTTCATTCGGACCTACACAGGAGAACACAACAACGCCAAAGTGCAAGTGTCTTAAAGAAAGCCACAAGAAACAGCATACAAAGGTGTTAGAGATCAGCTCTTTTGTCGGCTATCTTTGATGGGGGATCTGATTTTTTTTTTTCTCATCATAATTACAATTTCTGCATTATGAGGAAGCAGGATATAAAAGCAGAAAAAGGGAAAAAGAGGTTTCATACAACCATATTGTTCTAGCACCAAAGCTTTTATGGCCAATGCGGAAAAGGCTGATGTACTCTAAGAAATTATAAGTAAGCTTGTAAATAAGTAATCGGTTCAAATCAATTATAGGGCAGGCTGCATAAATTAAAAATGAAAGTGTGAAAAAATAAAAATAGCTCAGTTCTCTAGGTAAAGAAGAAAGTGTTGAGGTTATGGAAACAGTATAACAAAGCCCCTATACAAAGTGTGCCGGTTTAGCACAAGGCTGTGGACATGTAACAGCTACGCTAAAAAGAATTAATGAATGACATTGAACACTGAGTGAAAGTACAGTTGCATAAGAAAGGACGTCCTTTCATTCTGAGAACTCCACAGAAGCTTCGTTACAGGCAAGGAACAGAAACAGCAGGTAGACTGGTGCTATGTTGCCATGCCAACAGCAAAGAAAATATTTTCGATTCATCTGCTTCACATGAATCGCTCAGATAGCCTCCAATGATGGAGAAGTGTTTCGTAAGACATGTCAGTTTAATGGATGACAAAAGGAAGGCGGCCCAAGCTCAACCCCAGGTCTAACAGGCCCGCTGAAATTATCGGGAAGCTCTGCTGCTTTTCTCTGAAGCACCCCATTACAACCCCAGCTGGGAACACTTTTATGCATCAGCGCAATCCAGTTCATTCCACTTCATTCCGGGGCTTCAGAGCTCCAGGTGATCTCTTAGCAGCCATTCGCCAGTACGTTTACATTTAGCCTCACTCCTGCTTTCAAAATGATGGAGAGCGTCAGCGGCCGTTGGAGAAGAATGAGGACTGAGCATGTCCCGGTCTCGGAAGGCGCAAGGACACCTATGCGGTCTCTAGTCCCCACATGATAAATCAGCCCTAAGCATCCCTGAGGAGAGACAGACATTTTCTGCCTGCCTAGAGGGCTGATGATCACATTTGTTTGGATGTTGTGCCTACAGCGAAAACTATCAATACATCATTGTATTGGGCAGTGGCAGAAGTACGTTTCAATTTACACACACAGTTTAAAGTTTTGCCCCTTTATTTTAGTTTGATCTTTATGGTGAAAAAAATCCCTCCTCAGCCACTTTGTGGTATAAACCTCAGATACTATTTCAAGGCAGAACAAAATGTCTATAGGCTGGCTGAGGCGTGCTTGAAATTCTGAGAACATATATAACATACAGCTCGCAAGTAAGAAGAGGCCTTCTGACCCTTCAAGTCCATGTGGTTGCTAGGAACTAACGAAGGTAAGGATCTCATCCAACTTCCTCGAAAGAAACGAGGGTTTTGGCTTTGACAATGTGGCCGGATAGCTTGGTGCCACACTCCCAAAACCCTCTGTGTAAACAGGAGCCCCCTATTCTCAACTTCAGAAGCACGTCCCTGTAGTTTCCTTTTGTGGCCCCTGGCTGGTGTCTCTCTGTCGATTCAGAAGCCCGCTGGGTTGTCTTTGTCAATGCCTTCGGGGATTATGAATACTTGTTTTCTCACTTTGCAACGTAAGATTTTGTTCTGTATACATCATACGGAAATCTGTTTGCAGGAATGTTTGGCTGTCAAAAAATCACGACGATAAAAACGTAATGTATATGTTCACAAGCATGTCATTTTTCCTCCATGATAAAGATTCATTATCATGATGGCAGATGTGACTGATGCACTGCAGAAGATAAACGAGAATGCAGTAAATCTCCGGATTAATGAGTAAACAAAGACAATGAGACTGGAAATTAAACACCAATGTAAACTGGACAGCAAGGTAGATGGTATTTTGTTTAATCTGATTTAAGCAGCAAAGTTTGCAATATGTCTGTAAACACTGTGCTATTATTATGCAACTTATGATGGTTAGCATTATGATCGCTGTACATGTCTGTATTTAGATTTAGATTTTAGATTTTAAAAGATTGTCACATTCTTTCTTTAAATTTAAATCTCAAGACCTTTCCGAGCATTCTGTTAAAAACGTTTTGTACAAGTAGTCATAATTCAATATTTCTTTAAACGAGCTTAAAAATAGAATTAATAAAAATGATTAAGTTACCAGGAGTAAAATGGTTTAACAGCCTTTTAAACATAAAAGAATCCTAGCAAATTGCATCTTCATTCAATCCTTTCAGCATTTTTTCCAGTCATTACAATGCAATGATCTCACGTTCCCTGTACATGTACAGTGGAGCTCCTGTGCCATCTAGTGTTATTTCACATCTTATTCAGAACAGCTAAGGACAACATTTCCACAGTTACTGCGAGTTAACGATCTGTTTACTTTGTCACCCTTTAGAGTTGCTCATTAGCCGATGCAGTGAATGATTCTGCACACTGTACGCACAAATTGCTTCACAGGTTATTTTTTCCTTCGCTCCAACAGTTCAGATCTAAATCGGAGGTCAGTTTGAAACTCCAATACTCTTCTTTCTTCAGATCATTCTTCCTCATCGACAGTGATGGGGATTTGGATTAGACAGATCATTAGTTACCAAATGCAGCCTTTAAGGCTATCCGATACATCATCTTGGATACAGAGAGTCATTGGTGACTACAGGAGTCATTAACCCTGGACGAAAGTATCCCAATCTAAAAGTTAAAAACATTCATGAACGCCATCATAAATATACTGCATTGGTCTGAACTTACTGGGCATTTTAAATCTAATGGCTCATTCATTGTAATAGAAATTAAATGTATTAATGAAGGTTGGGATCTCTTTAAGTGGTTAAAATATAGATGTGGATGAAACCAGGCAACTGCAGACAAGCAAAAACTCATCTGAATGCCAAAATGACCTTTAATATGTCACTTCAGTACTGTTATTTCACACTAGGCCATATTTTTTAATAAATCTGTTAAGGAAAGTCCAGTTGGCCATGTTATGGAGAATCTTAAGCTATGCTATTGAAATTTAAGGTCTGCAGCAGTAACTTTACTGCGAGGCATTTCCTGGGATCAGTTTTCTGCCTTTCAGTCGAAGGGACCGTACTTTCTTTGTGCTTGGAGCTCAGGTAAAGCTTTCACTTCCCCTGGGGTCTGGCCCATGCACACACCCCAGCCTTTGAAATGGAAACAGCTGTCAGTGCCTGTTTCTGATAGAAGGTGTACAGCACAGATCCAAGAGGTTTAATGCACTCTTGGGCTACAGCCACAACCTTCCCATGACAGAGTTCTTCAGATCCATCATGTCATTACTTAGTAGTAGTCGGTGATTCCCAATTAATGGAAAACCACTTATTCCTGGCATAGCTCAAGGCCATCTGGAGCCCATGCTGGAAGGACAGGGTTGAAGGTAGGACTACACCCTAATCTGCACACACACACGCTCTGGGAACAATTACAGATGCCAATTAACCCAGGTAGCATTTCTACATTAGTTATAAGGAGCTTGGAACACCTTGCAAACACCTAAAAGACCACTGAGAGAAGGTGCAAGCACCAAGAAGACAGCAGAATCAAGAAAAGAGTAAAGGATGCAGAATCTGTGACATCCAATTTACAGCACATTTAATCACTCTGTACCCCTCAGGCACCAGATGTCCCTTGTTTAAAACGTTCTTATTTATGATATCCTTTTAGAAAGAGAAGATTGAGGGTGTCCTATCATGTAAATAAGACTACACAAGCTGATTGCAATAAGGTGGGGCATAGCTGCACAGCAGCTCTCACAATGCTCCATCACCACAAGCCTTGTAAAGTGGGTTAACAATCACAACTGTTCAACAGAAAAAACTAGCTGCTTCTGGACCAGCAGGGCTAGAACCGACTACCCCTGTGGTACAGCATCACATGTACACAGGGCTTGCCAATACTCATTCTGGAGACCTCACTGTCTGCCTGTAGTACTAATTGCTTCGTTGAATGAAGCTTTAATTTCATAACAGGGTAAGCCTGAACCTTAATTAGACCTTTTTTGTCTAACAGAAGGGAATTCAAATCCTGAATTAAGATTTTTTCCAGATAAAAAACTCAGAAAATCAAAAACCTAATTGGTGAATTAAACCAGCAGACTGGAAAGACTGGACCAGAGCCGGGAAGCATTCAGACATTTCTGCAGTCCAGCAGGGAGACGGGACCACATTTTAAAGGTGAGAACAAGGCTAGTGTTTCCAAAATAATGAGAGAGAAGAATAAATCCTATTTGTAGTCGTAATTGGACTTGAAAAAAATCCCAAACCATGCTGCCACTATTGTTAAAATGTTATTTTTGCAGTGAAATCAGAAGACAACACTCTTGTGGAAGGAGACATCACATCAGGGAGAGGCATCTTTAGGGCAGAAGCCCCAAATATGGTACTCCAGCTTTTACAGGTAACTTTTACATTTCTTTCTATAAACCTGGAAGGTGGTATTCTACTAAAACCAATTTAAGACATCATTTGGAACAGAAGTCATGATATTATACAGCACACAGGGACCTGACCTCCTTTCGTTTAAACTACTAGCTCAATGGATGAGCTCAATAAACAAGTGTTCCTCATCTTTAAATGACACAGGACACTCAGGTTAAACCCATGTGAATAACTGGCTTGGTCTCTCCAGGACCAGATCTAGACACTCCTCTGCCTTAGACGAACTTGAAATAAACCCAAATTATCCCGAAGGAAAACCAAGCCATCCTGAATCCAGATCAACACATGAGGCAGGATAGCGGACAGCAAACATTTTATTGTATATTACAACGTAGCCCAAATGAAAGTCCATGTTGTCATCTCGGCACCGCTGGGCAGCAATGAATTCAGTCCAATGAACTTCACCGCATGATTAGTCAAGCTGCAAAAAATAATGAACACTACGATCAGAATGGTTATTTTTTTAAGATCCCTTGCAATGTCTTTCCAATTAATTTAAAATCACACATTAATAGCTTAACTACTAACTAACACATTTGACAGAGTTAAGTAATATTAGTGTCTAGTCGTTTAAAAAAAAACTGATAAAGCATACCTGCGAGCAGTGCTAGAAATGATCAATATTTTCCAGTTAACACCTGACGACTAGACTTACCTTGACAAAGCCGATGTCCTTCGCGTACTGTCGGAAACACTGACGGCACATGTTCAGACCGTACTTGCGGATCAGACCGTGTCTGTTGGAGCATACTCGGCTGTGAAAAGTACGAAGATCGAGTTTACCGGGATTAATATCACAACAATGGAGGCATTAATACAATTCACTACTCGGGATCTTAAGCCCTTATCACCCCCTACGCGCCATTATTGTACATTACAGCCCGACTGTCCCCCAAAAGGGATATTTTTATACTTGTAAAAGTACCGTTTTCTTTCAAGCTACTGTAAGTTAACGTCCTGTTTTGCATTTATGTACGATATTTAATTTGAAGATAAGGTACATCATTATACTCATTTTAAAAGCCCGGCCCTCTAAGCGGCAAAGAGACGCCATATTACCGGATCACATTCCATGTGGCTGAAGAGTCGATTTATAAAAACTCAACTCTCGCTTAGGATTCTACTCTGGGACGGACTCTGCCTGTTACACAGGCTCCAGATGTAAAACATGACGGGGATAACTAACCAGGATCGTGATCCCTGGCCGAATTTTCGTGGGTGACTCCAGTAGAGCTGCTGGTGGCCCATCTTGTCTCAATCGCTCGGATCTCGAAAAGGAAGAGGCTACCCGGCGCATGTGCAGGTCAAGCCTCCTCCCCGCCTCACTTCCTGCCACAAGATATCCCGAAGGTCTTGGTTTTGTAGTTTTTAAGGACATGGTGTTTCATTGAAGTATGTATGACATATCCGAGGACTCCCCTAGATCTAGGAATGACTTCTTCGGAACCAACCAGAGCACACAAATGGATACGTGTGTCGGAAACTTTTACACGAAGGGTTGAGGGAGTGCGAGAGAACGTACACAAACATGTTAAAGAAACTGGTGATGCACTGGTATCTTCCCCAAAAAAACGTTTAATATTGTTGGGACCTCTCGGGGAAGGAGCCAGGGTGCAGATTCATATTAAATAAAAGAATTAAAACGCAATACAAATTAAAAAAATCAGGTATCATCGTCTAATCCATCAGCTGTAAACGTGTTTGTTAAATAAGACATAACATATGCATACCCCCAACATGAGCACATACACTTTCGCCCATTCTTTACAACAGATATTGAGAGAAAGTCGATTCAGTATAAGTTTAAGCTCTTTTATTTAAGTCATTATCTACTACACTGTCAACTGCAGTTACTTAAAAAATACTGTTCGCTTAAACCAAATCAAAGGTTCACATTAATCGAGTGCTTTTTTACAATCCACCAGTAGATGGGAGCATTGATCTATCGTGCTTTGTATGTTTAATGTAAAAAACGGAAAAACACCGTCAAATCGCGTTGAAGTACTGCAATTAAAAAACACGTGCCTTGTTTTTTAAATATAATGTTATTTTCGCTTTTAAATATTTTAAGCCTTTGACATCAAATTTAAGGACATTTTCGTGATACTTTAGGTCGTTATTTTTTATAACACACACGCGTGAACTGGAATTAGCACTCTCAGCCAATCGGCTCGCATCTTACAAGGCGGCCGACGGTTATCCTTCTCGCCCAATCAGCGAGGGCGTTGTTTCCAGGGAGCTGTTCTTTGGCGCGGGTTTGCTTGATTGTTTTGAATCCTTTTCCTGGTCAGTTTTTGTTTTTACACATCAGGAGTATGTTCTTGTCTTGTTGGATTTACTTTTAGTGTGGTACGTATAGTGTGAAGTATTTTTTGTTATTTAATGTGACTTTGTGTAAGTTACCTTGAAAAGACAGCAAGCGGTGAAGTCTGCTCTGTGGGTTGTTCCGCGCTATTGATCTTATTTTAAAATAAAATATTCATTAATTCGCGACGGACTCAACAAGGTTTACTATAGCACGGGGTTCAAAGAGAAAGGCATTAAATCGCATTAAAAGACGTCTGTATCGACTCAGTGATTTGATAATGATAATTTACATGTTTTCTCAAAGCCAGATAATATTAGCAAAATTTTACATTTATCGTGCATATGCAAGAAAATAAATAAGCATATTACTATTACCAAGTTGTTTATTCGAGTAAATGAAAGATTATAATCCTAAATGTTTTTTTACTAATGTACGTCAATCGCAAAAATATTTTCGATATTTATCTGAGCGCAAGTCGCATCACAACGTTCTACTACATTGGTAATTACTTGCTTAAAGATGAGTAGTTCGTGTCTATGTTAAGGAAATATGTTCTTCTGATTTAATAATTGTAAAGTTAACCTAATCTATTCAGATGCGTCAGATGGTCTTTATTTTATCTTTGTTTTTGCCCATTATTAAGAACCGAGCAAAAAAAATTAAAGTATTTTGCTCCGTTGCCCAGTCATACGTGATCAAGAATGATTCTTGTTCTGTGTGAGTTCGCAACGCCCTGCTTCACATTTTAACTTTTTAGAACCTCTAACCTTCTAGAAAAGCAATAAAATTGAGTATTTCCGTTCTGCCTTCATGTGATTCGAAAAACCTGATTGCACTGTGAATTAACAGCAGATCGTGCTGGAAGTGCTCCCTGTGTTTAGTGAGAAACCTGCAAGGTGTTGGTCAGCAGGAGATGTTTGATGAAGTTAAAAAAAGTTACGGATACAGCACTTCTAACGTTGTATCGCTCACTAAGAATTAAACATATACACTTCTCACACGCCTTAATCTGTCAAAGCAAAAATACCACCCACGCTCCCATGAATAAGAACGGACCAGCATAAGATCAAAACTAGGAATGCCTTGCTGGTGCCTGTGGAAGCGATTCTCCCATCCCGAGCGAGGAGACGAGTAAATGCCTGAACTCTGGCCCACTTGGCAGCAGTCCAGGTGTCGTGGCGGCCTGGAAGAACCGGGGCTGTGAGTGCTGGATTTGGAGTTGCACGAACACTTAAAAGGAGCAGGCGTGACTCGCTTTGAACCGCCGAATAGCTGTCGCGATTAGAAAAGCATTTACGACAGCCGCAGTTGTGATGCGGGTTTTTTAAAAAAGTCGCCGGCCGTAGCCGTGCAGCTTGTTGAGAGGTTGGGGGTGGGTGGGGGGGTGTGACGAGGGCAGTGCAGTGACGTAGCGCGGCTGGCTTTTTTTTTGTGCGCGCGTGTGTGCCTTTCCGCAGTGGCCAATGAGCAAGTTCAAAGCCAACCGGCTTCGAATGGCGGCCCTGGTGACGTAGGCAGCCGCTATTCGGCAGCCTGTCTAGTGACGCCTCCTTATTGTTGATCTATGTTGTTTTTCTCATGGATTTTAATAACCCAGGTCTCAGTCCTCGCTTTACGATGAAGCTGCAGTGCGAGGCTGAAGTGATCAATCGGATGCTGCCGACCTACGGGGTGAGAAGCCGCGGAAAGGGGACGAGAGCCGTGCTGTCGATTGGGAGACACCTGGACAAAACCACCACGATCAACAACGTCTATCTGATGATCTGCACGCTGAGGGACAAGGCTGGTTCCAAATACAAGGTTAGTTCTTCAAAGTTGTGAGGCGTGTGTGCCATTTTCCCTTCGGTTTCTGGGGTGTTGGACTTGGCTGCTGCTCTTGAAAGTGTAACTTGCTCTTCACCCTGGAGTTCCTCAACGAGTGAAGATTATGTAATGGGGAGGGAAAATGCATAACTGGGAATTTTTTCTGCCCGTTTGCGTTAGGCTAAGTGACCCTATTTGTTAGATCTTCAAGACCAATGCAAATGCTCCACTAATGAGGTTTGGGAAAGTAACTTAGCAGCTTGCAGAAACTAATCCATTCTTAAGACCGTGCTAGGGTTAGTGGGTTGCATCTGTTGTTGCTGAGTGATGGAAATAAGGGTTTAGATTTAGTTCATTCGAGTTTTACATTTTTAAAATCCTACCCAGCTGGTTTTTCTCTGTGTGCCTGTCAATGTGACAGAGGGGTTTTGAAGACAAGCCACTTGGAAAGCATAAATAATGCAGGTAGGTTTGCTTGAACTGTGTTGATAAGTGAGTAAGCAGCTCTGTATTCAATAAGGAGCCTCACTCCAGTGTGAGGTGAAACTAACAAGACAGGTTGCAGATTACTAAGGAGACAGCACTGTTCAGCATACCTGGTATGGTAGTGTTCAGAAAAGCAAGAAACTTAGCAAGGAGTATAGTGTCTAGACAAGTCTAGTGAAGTCTAATGATCTTTAAACCGCACTGTAAGTGGCATTGTCTGTTGTGGCTTGCTTTTGCAATAACATTGCTCAGTGCCTGAACAGGCTGTAATCTGCGTTGTCATTTCAGTTCCTCTAAGTCATTTGACAGTAAAGTAGAAATTAGCCTTATTAAATTAAATGTTGGTTTTTATTTGCTAGTCAGAATAAACAATTATGTGAGATCTTGCAATCTGGTTAATGTTTTGATTTAGCTGAGTGTACTTGATGAGCCTAACGTAACTGTTTCTGTTGCTGACTTTGGACTAACAGTTTGGCTGTGCTATTTACCTGCTAATGTGATTGTGAAAAATGCTGGTTGTACTGCTCAGAATTATGTTTCATTGTCATATTTACAGATTGATCTTCTAGGGGTCACTGGTCCAAGTAACTATTTCAAAGATGTATTCATTGAAATGTCATCGGGACTGGTCTCATGTATTCCCAAATGTGAATGATTGAGATTATGGATAAATTGGTCATTATTGATTATTAAAGCTCCTGTTGCACTGTTTGTAAGAGTTAGAATGTTAAATTTGGTGAGTTGGCTAAATTCTACTTTGTACTTGCAAGATATCCATGGAATTCCCTGCAGGCTCCAACCTAGAAATAAACTGAAGTGATTTCTCGCTACATATTCTACTATATAGTGGGGCTGCTGGTGCCTATTAGCTGCTGCATGTCACCCAGGTGGGTGCACCTTCAATGGTAGATGAAGTGGGTCCCCTGCACTTTGCACTTAGTGATTTTTGGGGATAAAGTGCTTTACAAATGGCATGGATTCCACTAATTATAATATTGAAATTAAAAACATGCATTAGCCTCCCTTGCTGGTTCACACTATGATTGTTCATTGTATAATTTTCTGATTCACAACAGCTATATAAGGCATGCAGCCAAAGTGACAGACATCACCAGGGCAGTTTTCAGACATGCCTTTTTGTGAGAGTGTACCGACTCACTCCTGCTACTCCCATTGGGCGTAGGTTGTGTAGGCTCTAAAATGGCAATTGAGGCATCGTTTTTTTCTTGCAGGGTGTATTGTTAGTCCTACATATTTCTGAAAACGGATTTAAAGCTCCAATAGAAAAGTCTGTGAGTTTGAAATCCAGGTTTTTTGTATGAGAGCAAACTGAGATGTAGTATTAAGGCACTTGCAAATACAAGCAATTTAATACAGAGACATACATTTGTTTGTGATGAACCACCTGCCTTCTGATAGAGGGGAGTTCCCTGCGGCCTCAAGACACTTTGGGCCAGAGCTGGGAGATTCTTGAGAAGCCGGGTTTGAATCCTAGCTCAACACAAGCAGTGCTCATTCATATATGTATGTTGGTGATGTATTGACCTAGTTATTAAATTAATTTTGTTTTCTGATTTCTGAATCAGGATCCAGGCATGGATCACTGTCCAACTGTGTTAGTCTTTATCTCCCAGTAAAAAAAGATTAGAATCTGACCAGCATACATCCAATACAGAATTCACCCTGTGTTATGGTGGAACATTTTATTGTGTATTTGTTTTTCAATTGGAATTATAATTTGCACATCAACAAACTTTCATGGTTTAAAAAAATATATAATGTAGTTAGCAAAGGAACAAGTAATAGGTTTATTCCATGCTGAAAAAAAGAAGAAAGAGAACACAACGTTTCGGCCGTGGAGCCTTCTTCTTTTTTCAGCATGGAATAAACCTATTACTTGTTCCTTTGCAGCCTACGCATGCTGACGCAGCTACCCACCTGAACTATAATGTAGTTAGTCTGTTAGTCTTCAGAATTGTGCTGCTCTCTGATGACTCATAGTAAATAGCTCCCCATTGTTGTTCTATACCCCTTTTTTTGTTGTGAAACCAGTAGTTAAGCTGCACCTTCATGCCTAATACAAACAGCATGTTCCCTTGATTTGACATGCAGTGCCATTGTGTTGCTTTTCATGTCTTATTTACAAAACCATTTATTTCCCACAGTTAAAAGAGAACATAGAGCAGTTCTTCACCCGATTCGTTGAAGACGGAAAGGCTACGATAAGGCTGAAGGAACCTGCGGTTGATGTCTGTCTGAGCAAGGTATGGGCCTGTGTTTGGTATGTTGCTGGGTTATCAAGGAGAGTGTTCAGTTACAATACCTCCTTCTGCAGGAGTACTCCTGCTGAATACACTGATAAATTTGAAATATCTGTAGATTATCAGTGTGGTGACATTTAGATTTTCCAGGGGATTTCTTTTAAAGGGGCGTTAGGAAGCATTGTCAGTGAGTGCATTTCAAGCCACAATAAAAGTGAAATGTGAATAGGAGGTTTTGCACATTACTGTATACATCGCAAAATAGACCAGATTTACAGGTATGCATAGCTCTATATTCTGCCATTCTGAAATAGGCAACAAAACATCCACTGATGTGAAAAGGCCCTATTACACTGTAAACAAGCGGGCTTATGAATACATCTCTTTTAGTCCAATAGAAATATTGCTCTCGATCTTGAGACGGTTTTGCCGACAAATACAACTTACGTGATCAGAACGCAGTTAACAAGTAAGAATGTTTCTGTGGTGAAAGGCATTTCATTAATTACAGAGTCCAGTGAGCAAGAAGGGCTGCTTGACGTTGGAGTTTGCACAAACTCTTGCCAATGGCGAGACCAAGGGTCTGTGACACAATGGAAACAGTACATTTTCACAAGCTCACGACTTTTTGCTAAATTTGGAATTCGGGAAATTGTGATAACATCAATTAATGTATTTTGTTACTGAGATATAATAACTGGTCTGAGAAATTGAGACTGCACCTCTACTTTAATACTTTTAGCCAGAACAGTATATTACATTTTTTTTATATGAATGTACACTGTCTGCATTTCCTTATGATGCACTGCATGATGATGTTATATCCTGCATTATTCCAAAAGGTTTTTTGGCTTGCATGTGAATACATTTAACAATACTAAGGGTCTGTGCAAATTACCACCATCAAGTTGCATGCTTTCCATATGTTTTGTAAGTGTTTAAAATGGATTGGCACTATTATATTTTTGGTGATGTTTAAGGAGATGGTTTTGTTTCTGTGCCACTTTTTCATGAAACATTCAAATAAGTAATTTGCTTAAAACATACATTTCCAAGAGTGTGCCATTTCATTATGTAACTCCTTGAACTGAATGGTAGTGTTTTTGTTTGCTTGACATTTGTGACTGTGATGGAGGATCTCATTCTGAGCCTTTGTTGGTGTGCAGCCAATCAGATCAGCTCCTGGTGTGCTTAAGAACAATTGGATTGCAATGACCTTTCCTCTAGTTTCCTGAAAGCAGTTTTTTTTTTTTACTGTGATTGCTTCAGGATTTTTTTTAATCCATCCATGGCATTGCTCCTTGGCAATTTTCAAGGTGTTAGGGGCTTCCCTGTGTAGCATTGAGAATAGTGGAGGAAAGGCATTATACTTGGTGTTTTCTCATTTAAAATATTTATACCACCTGTAGTAAATGCATCTAATCTAATCTAATTTTCTTTTGTCTCTTTCAACTGGAAAATTCCTCTGCAGGGGTTATACCAAGAGATAAACCTTTCCTTAAATTACTGAAATCAATTAACCAATTTGTCACTTGAGTAGAAATTGCTCATTCATTTCCTGGGAATACTAGATGTAAGGGTGGCTGTGTTACAGATGAATTGTGCAATACACCGATTTGTTGGTTAACATTCAGGTGTGATTCCTCCTTTCTCTCTTCATCTGATTGCTCCGAAACCATATTCAGCAGCTTTTGCCAGTCATGAGGCATGATGCAGCGTTCCTTGGTAAAACTATACCACAGAATAGTGGATTTGACTGGCAAACAGGAAAGGCTTTTGTCAGGGTTTTTCTGGAAACTGATTACTAGATTGTAATCTAAAGGTTTTGTAATTGGTATGAGTTGGCCTCTGCATCTTGTCTCGACACACAGGCTTGCATCACACAGACATTCTTCCCATAAACACTTCCTTGCATTTCAGTACCTTTTCACCAGAGGAGCATTAATCATTCAGTTCAGTGGAAATGCTAAGCCTCAGGAGCACGTGTGATGTGTCAGAGTCAGGAGGCTTTTCGGACCATATAGTTTGTTTGGTTGCTATTGCTAGTAGTTAACTGAACCCAGATTCTCATCAAAACTTCAGCATCGTTTTAGGAAAGATGCAATGGTGTTGACTTTGACAGTGATCCTTGGTCACTTATTCCAGACTACCTCAAACCTCTGTATAGTTATGAAAACTGAGTTAGTTCTCGGTTTTAAATACACTTCCTCTTTGCATTTGTGTTCAGAGGATCGTGTTTCACTGTTGATTTATGAAGAAGTCTATGTATGTATAGTTCCTCAGTGCCTTTGAGGATTTTGAATACTTCAATCAGACCTCCTTGTAGTCCTTCCAAGATGGAAGTGATTAAGTTCTTCTAGAGTTTTGGTGTACAACACTCCTTTAATCCTGAGAATGCACCTGGTCACTGTTTTTTTTATTGATTCCATAGTGGCAATGTTTTTGTGTGGTGACCAAAATTGTACATCATCTTAAAAAGGTCTAAAAAGATACATTTGTACAATATTCACATAGAATCCCTTGAATTAAACTGCACACTTTCAGCTATATTGTAACATTCTGTTTGACTGTGCTTCCCCACATTATCTAGACTAGAAAATGTAAAGGATGGCAACATAAGCACCAGAAAGATTTTCATAAGTTCCTTCTTCCAACTCCGTTTCTTGTTATTTGTAGTTTTTTTTGCTACCTGCACCCTATTCACTTGTGTACATGAAGAGTCTGCTGGTTTGCCCAGTTTTGATTTCTGTCTACTGTACCATTACAGCTCCTGCAGCCTCCCACACCACCCATTTTGACATGATCTTCCAAGCTTCACTAGTTTCTGGATCGTTTATACAAACCAGAAGGAGCAGTGATCTTAAACAGATGCCAACAGTGCTTTGGCACTATTTAGGGAATGGAGCAGCAAAAGGAGAAACCCTGGGTCACAGAGCTGGTGTTTTTATCTAGTGTGTCCAATCCGCTTACCTGGGTTGGGTCTGAGTCACAGGCAGTGACATGACTGGAAGGAAACCAAGGATGGTAGCTTGTTTGGACTTGAAACTTAAAGCAGAGAAGAAGGGTTTTTGTTAGCAAGCATGGCTGATCTTTTAAAATAAATCACCGCAGTGTAAAATAAATGTCTACACAATTCCTGATATCCAGCCAAGATGGAGTAATGAATAACGACTCTGTGAAAATTTGTTTTTCAGAACTTTTAATTGACCCTTTTAGAGATTATTTCCATGCGGTAACATGTGTCCCGTAGTTGGGTGTGTTTTTTTTTCCTTTTGTGAGACAGCGAACATCAGCTGATAATTACAGAGCTGCCTTGTTGTAGTCATAGCCTTCTTTTGCTCATTATTTCAGACACACCCCTCTGAGTTTCACACGTTTCCCAAAAGAAGCATGAAAGGACAGGGCTCATTCTGCTGGTTTATTTCAGCCTTATTTGTTTGCTTCTGTTGCTTCACTGTTATACACATACAATAGCAGTTACGGTGGGTGCTGTATAAATCTATCAAAGTATGAAATACACAAGTGCATATGTTTTTTAGTAACACTATTTTGGAACTTTCTAGTCCAGATTTCACATGCATATTTAAAAATGTTTGATCTGGTCTCTTACAGTTGGATTTTATGAAACATTAAAATAAATGGATAACTTACACAAGCATGTAATACCATGATGGAATGCATATAAAATCTAATTGTTTTACAGGATTTTCTTGTATGCACTTCAAAGTCCAGCATTTCACAGCAAACAACTGAATGGGGTTGAAGTTCTGTATATTTACAGTTGAGCTTGTTTGCACTTAACACTGACTAGATTCTGTTTGGTAGTATGTTTGTGTGTAGTTCCTTTAGCTGTGATATGATCTTCTGGGAGAAGCAGGTTTTAGCTGAACATTTTATGGCAGCTGGAGTGCCTCCTTAGCACAAGTAAGGCACAGTCTCCAATTCCAGTTTGGGAGTGTGTACCCAGTTTGGAGTGAAGTGTTTTAAGTCTGAGTAGGGTCTTAAAACTCCAAGATGCAGATGAACAAAGTTTTTGTTTTGTAATTGTACTTTTGTCTTTTGGTTATTTTTGTTTGCAGGCAGATGCTAACAACCTGAAGAATTTTCTTTCTGCAGCCAGGCTGGCTCACAGAGGTGCTGATTTAGATACATTACCCTTGTCAACTCTCACTTCTGTCAGGGCCCGGGATGTGGAGAAACCAAAGAGCAAGCTTACCATCACATCCAAAAAGGATTACCCTCTGACCTCCGGTTTCCCTTACTCTCTGGAGCAGCTGCAAGTGTCCTACTGCAAGCTGTCCCGGGTGGACATGCGCATGCTGACGCTGAAGAAACTGCGCAAGCTGGATCTCAGCAACAACCACATCAAGAAACTTCCAGCCACCATTGGGGACCTGAGCAGTCTGGCTGAACTGATCCTGCACAACAACCACTTGGAGTCATTCAGTGTAGATCTGTGCCTCTCCACTCTGCAGAAATCTCTCCAGTACCTGGACCTCAGTCAGAACCGGTTGCATGGTCTCCCAGCCCAGTTCTGTCAGCTGCGTGAGCTGGTTCACCTGAAGTTGGATGACAACCAGCTGGTTCGGCTGCCCTTCAGAATTGGGCGGCTGTCTAAGCTACGCTTTCTTTCTGCTGCTCGCAATCAGCTACCTTACTTGCCCAGTGATTTCCGCAAGCTGTCACTGGAGAACTTGGACTTGTCTGGAAATCCATTCAGCCACCCCAACCCTCTAGATCACACAATACAGCTTAAATTCCCTCTTCCTCTGCTTGAGATGGCTGCAAGAACAACAGTTAACCATAGGTAAGGTGTATATCGTGAGCTTTATTGAAACAGAAGGTGCTGTTGGTGATTATATTAACTTTGCTTTCAAAGGACTCAATCTGTGTCTTTTGATGTTCATTAGATGAATACCTGTAGTGCTCTCATGAAGGGCACTGCAGTAATTTAGATTTTGAGATTTTGCACTTAATCTGAACAGTTTTGGTCTTGGGTTGAGCATTCCAGTGCCGACTTGCTTAAGAAGAGCCTGTTGGCACGTTGTCCACTCTTTAATATTTTAGTTGTTTTATTTTACAAAAAACATGAATCGTAAACTCTTTTCACCCCCAGAAATTTCCATTCTGAGATGTCTTAACCTCTTTCTGTATCCATGAGAACCCTGGTTACATCTTTGCATATTTTTCCAAATTGTGTTTCTTTCTATAAACAATTTATCCTTCTCTTTTTCTGGTACTGTTTATACCGTGTAGGTCACTGTTAGAATCCTACAGCGCAAAATAGGAAACGTTTTCTTGCTTTCCTTTCAATTGCATCTCCAGCTGCCTTATTACAGTGGATAAATCTGTAATCTGGAAATTATTTTCGGTCTGTTTAGTCTTAGGTTTGATTTTGACTTCCATAATGGCAGATGTAAAGAAACATTTGCAATTTTTTTTACCAACTTTTTAGCTTCTTTATTATGTTGTTACAGAATACCGTATGGGCCTCACCTTATTCCAGCTCACCTGTGCCACGATCTAGAGGTGGCTAAAACCTGTGACTGTGGCAAAGCGTGCCTGAACTTCTTCATCCAGACCTGCGTCGACATGAACCTCCACCTCGTGTCCCACACGGTGGTGCTGGTGGACACGATGGCAGGCACAGAGGCCCCTGTGCAGTGCCACTTCTGCTCCCTCACCTGCTACTCCGAATTCCTTGACAAATCCCTGCAGCGCAGCACCAGATGACCCAGGATACACAGCTACAGCGTGGTGGTTTTAACCCGACGGGCTGTGGAGCTAGTGAATTCCCGTAACACTGATGGCGGTGGTTTGGACAGCATGTGATAGTGTTAAGCTTACTTGTGTTTTCTAACCACACATGATGGGCCTGAAGCATGGGCCGCACTATGAATGGACTCTTGTCTGTCTCCACATATAGTGCTTTTCATGTGATGTCCTCTGTGGAAGCCAATACATGTGATTTTTAACACAAAATGACTGTTCCTCGTCATTCTTGGAGGTGAGGGGCAGTGGGTTTGTGAATTGTAAAAATGGACCTGCTATCACTACAGAGAAAACCTGTTTAAGAAGGATTGTTTGCAATTAAAGCTTTAGTACAAGGCTGTAGGGTTCAGCTGATGTATATATTGTAAAGCTGTTGGGCTTTTTCTGGATGATGTGGATTTTTAAACGTCTGTTTCTGTCCCTTTTTAATGTCTGTCTACTCCCATTCAAGAGCATGTGAAGAAAATAATCACTGATTTGACTTGTCTAGCTGAAATGGAACATCGTATTTTAGAGTTGTGAAAAAGCAGAAGTAATTGCTTTTATGGGAAGTTGCAGAGGTATATAACATTTGAAGAAAAATAATTTAGCCCATAAAATACAGCTGAAAAAGCATCAGTTAGGAATAAACACCTGACAGAGAACAAGACCTCTGTTAAACTGTGAGATTCTTTGGGCCTGCCAGTTTTAACAGCAGCTTAAGAGGTCCTATTGGAACAGCTAGCTACAATGCAACCTTTTGGATTTTTTTAGTATTTCTAGCACTGCATTGGAATTTTTCAACTAGTTTCTGTGTTTCTCTGCCAGCATCAAATGAAGGGTTCGATATTGTTACCTCATTTACTATTTTAAAGAGTATATGCAATCACTTTCAGACCCTTATTCTTATTTCCCAGCATGAGCAACATCTATTTTTATCCTTCCTAGGAAAACAGTGATGGTGTACTTCTGCATTTTCCAGTTGTGAAGGTCTGAGATCTTAGAGGTACAATTATTGCTTTATGTTGACTACGTGATCTACTTTGAAAAATCTGTAAAATTAGACATTGTTTTGGTGAAGGTGTTTAAGTGGAGTCGGTATATGTAAGGATGCAACATTACCGACAATGTTCATGTGCATTACAAGACCTGCAATACCACTGAAATCCGCCTAGGTGGCACTCATTCATCACGGGTCCCTTACAAACAGTATGCAAGGCGCTTGAAAATGGGACCTTCAATAAAGTTTTTTCGGTATATTGCTTTAAAAAAGTGTTGTAGGTCTCTTTTTTTAAATAATGATTATATACTGAGAGGCACTGAAAAAAGGCCCCTCATTATATAATATTGTACAATGTGCATATGAAATGTGAATAGGTTTTGTTTGTTATGAAAATGTTTTATGGTATTTCTGAATATTAAAGATTTCTGCTGTCCTTGAAGAATTCATAAATTGTTAAGGATAACACCTTTTAAATGACTGTCACTATTTTTTTCTTAATGTGAAAAGTATGTTTATCCTTGAACACTATGATTGTTACCACTGAATGTCACAGCACAACAATGCAATGGTTTTATATACCAAAAAATCCATTTCTATTTTGCAATCCAATTAAATACTGTTATACTTTGGTTTAAAATGAACACTTCAAAAGTGAAGTGGCTTTTAATGCTACTCCTTTATGGTGAAAAAAAGTGATGGCTAACAAACTCATGTCACACTGATAGTATCCTTTTTTGTGATTTGTTTGAGAAGAAATCTTTTTCTACACACTGAGTACTGCTTCTTTTTAAAACAGTTGAAGGCTGACACCACTAAATGTATTTTAAGCAGTTTTTGGATGCTATGCAGTTGAACCACAACCTGACTCATGAGATTAGCCTGTTTTCTAATACATTTTACTCCAAATTAATTTTTGTTTTGAGTGACCTTCTGTTTTAAGACATTACCTCATCTGAATAGAAAATGAACCCAAACCTATTTTCATTCCTTTTGTTTCCCAGGGGAAATATCAGTACATGTCCAAAGTTGTTTTCAGATTGAGTTTGGGAGGTACGATTTAGCCTGCATGGTAACCAGAGAATAATGTTGTGATAGAAAATATAAACTTTCTAAATGGTTTGTCATGGATAAAACTGAAACTGTGTGCTGTACCCATGGTAGTGAAAGAATTTAATAAAAACTGTTCCTGTATTTTTTTTTTAGTTTTGCTTTTCTGTTAGGATCACTGGTTTTATCCTTATTCCGTTTGATCTTATGCGGTAACTGAAAAAAAATACATGATTAAAAATGGGTTCTGCACAGGGTGGTTGGGAAAAATAGAAGAATCTTGCAAGCTGCATTTCTTTTAAAACAGATCAAGCAGTTATGGTAGATTTCTTTTACTTTATTTAATATAAAGTAGTTTTTCATCTCCCAAAAGCCTCTTTAAAATCTATTTCATTCTGCACCCTGTGAGCACCCCTTAGTGTTGAATTTATATGATACAAAGCCATAAGGGTGATGAGGGCACCTATTGACTGCCAGATCGTTTTCATACAAGGCATAGCGTTTTCGATTATCAACATATGTGCTGCATCACTCTCGGTGCCAGACGCAGATTTTTTAAGCATGTGTTTTAGTAGGGAAAAGCTAGTTCTGGGGTATCCCCCTTTTAATACTTGACACTTCAACGTTGCTGGAAGAGGGCGGGCGCTGCCTTGGAAGGTATGACGTCACTTTATATCTTGACACATCGCTGTCTCGAGAGCCCCCTGGAGGCGTAATGCATTGTGGGATACGGAGGTCAACTGTGGTTCATTTCTGCTCGCTTTTCGGGGGAAACGAAATCGAGAAAAGGGGGCAGACTGTGAAGGAGAATGAACACAACTAAAGCGCGCTTTATTAATCCGAACGAATGCGGGATTGGGGCGTCTGCGCACTTAAACGCTTAAGGTAAGTTACGGCAGAGGAAAAGCGATTTCTGGTTGCGGCAACCATTGCGTTGTGATTATGGAGCAGAGCAGTGGTGCTGGTCTCAGTTTCCATATGTTACAGTTATACTGGCTACGGCACTGGTGCGTTGGTATGTTCAGTGTTGCATGGCAGTTTTTGTAAGTGGAGGCTTCGCCGTCAACGGTATTGATGGAGCTATTATCCATCCCGTTTTGTTGTTGTGGACTCGCGGAAGAGGAAAAAAAAAAGATGTGCTCTGCGGATGTGTGGCCAAGCACAAAAATGAGGAACGTGATTGCAGCTGGTCAAACATACGCATATATTTACTCAATCATATGTGTTTCAACAGAAATATTTACGGAAATGTGGATGGCTGTACCTAGTAGCACTCGGAAACTTCTGCCTTCAAGAAAATGAACGCCGTCGCGGGGAAGGAGTGCAAAATATGAAACTTATTTTGTAATCTGTCAGTGGGTAGGGGACATCTAGGTTTGTCTTTACAGGTTTACATTTCCTTAACTTTTACATGTAATACGTCAGGATTAAGTGTTCGTCAGTTCAGCTGACACCGGCTGGATATTGAAAGAGTTTACAATTCAGTGGCCAAGGTATTCAATAACCATTACCTTACTGTAGCATTGTGGCTTCCGAATATACAACTGACAACTAACTTTTTAGTTTCCAGGTATGGCCAGGTGAATTGAGCCTATCAAATAAGCTTTGGGCCAATACAACGATAATGGAATACAGCTACCTGCATGTACAAGTAACGATTTAACGTGTGTCAGGTTTTTACCATTTTAACCTCTTAAACTTTTCCTTAAATTATTTTCTCACTTCTGTGGCCTATGAGAGTTGCTGAGTGTTGTCCGCCCATGGATGTGGATTTGTCCGCTTGTGTCGCTGTCTAAAACGCCCAGGGCACCTTTTCCAGCTGAACCACATGTTCCGGTTGAAGTTATTTGCTTAATAACTTTCGGTGTCCTTGCATCACCAACGTGAGAGCCGCCCCATGAAAAGATGATGACGGCAAGCTCTGTCGATTTTTGATTGTATCAAATGAACCTGCTTTACGATTTGACCAATGTGGCGTTGAGGAGTCGGGAGTTAACACCAGATGCTTTTCTAGCGGTGCCTCCGATTAATTTGCATTTTGTTCCAATTTGTTATTTTAGGATCTATTAGAGGTATTCCACTCATCAGTATGTGTGGAGTTTATTGTTTTATAGAGAGCGGAAGAAAGTTGAGGAGAACAGTGGTCTTGGTGGTTAGCATCTCTCCCTTATGGCTGGTGGGCTTGATTCCAGACTTCTGTGTGAAGTTTGCATGTACTCTTCAAGTTCTGCTTTCCTCCCTCTCCCACAGCTAGGTGCTGGCTGGTTAAATTGGGGTCTCTAAACTGTCCCTGTGTGTCTGTGTGTGCATGGTTGGGAATCCAACCCTGTGCCTCTAGGACCGGAGTTGTATTGACACTTATCAGTAATAAGCAGCTCTCTGATAGTGGACGAGTGGGAGACAAGGTTGATCTCCAGTCACAATAACTGTATAAGAAGGGTGAGCTCAAGGTCTTTTAACCTGAAAGATCTTTAAACAAATTATTTCTTTAATTGTTTAATTGCTGTGCTCAGCACCAGCACCCCTTTCTTTTTCAATCAGTATAGGAGCCTTTTTGGTTTTCCCAGTGTCCCTTCACTGACAGACGCAGTTTTCCATGAAGCCGATCTCCCAGTGAGTCACTGTATACACACACCTGGGGTACAAACATGCGTTAGAGCCAAAGCATACATTTCTTGTTTAAAGATCCATGTGGTAGTTTCAAACAGGGGTCAAAGGTTTTCAGAATGGTTTGAACAAGTGATTATTTCTTTGTTTTATCTAAGGTAACTTTAAATCAATGAAATGTAAACTGTTAACACAGAACAGTATGGTTCACAAAAATTTCACGTAAAGCAATAATCACAAATTGAAAGGCTCCAAAGTACATTCTACAGTAGCTGAAACAAAAGCAACATAACATAAGGCAGAGAAATGGGGCTAACAAATCATTCTAAAAGTGGGTCTTCAGGAAGTATTCGAAGGCTTTTCACAATGGCAGAGTCCTGCCATTGTTCAGAATCCCTTCCCCAGCACAGTTTTCGTCTTGTGTGTCAAATGCTAGCTGATTCTGTTGCTCTACTTTGAGCAGTTTATCTAAAAATAAAAATAAATGAAGAGCTGTATTAAATATAATATGAAAAAACAGTGCTAAAACCATCAAAGATCGAGAAGTCATGTGATTCTTTTAAGAGTTGGTATGTATGTGCACATGATGTGCAGAAACCTTTTACCACCATAGCAGCTGGGCAAGTATTTCAAATGATAAATAGTTGCTTGCTTTGTGTTTTGTGTTGTATATAGTGAAGTTCAAAGCTGTATTATTGTTTTCCCTTTTACTGCTGTGTTCCAAACACCATCAAAAATATTACAATGCATTGAAATGAAATGTAATTAAGCAAAAGTACTGTACCGGTTTGTTTGAAGCTCACATATATTTTAATCACTGAAGGGTGACTCAGATGTAATTGAGCTTTATTAGTATAGCACACTGTGTGTCAATTACCTTCTGCCTCAGGGCATTAAAAACTAACAGGAATATGGCAAAAGGAATAATTAATCATCACCTGTGTTTGTTTTTCAGAGATTATCTGTGACTCAATTTATATGCCAGCTGTGAAATTGTTTCCTGTTAGAATATACCATGCCCTTCTGGATATGTTTGGCTTTAATGACCCACTGAGTGGATTTATGTTTACAAAATTTCAAGAATCAAAAGTGAAGAAGAAACGAAGATAGAAGATTTCCGTTTCCCACATTTCAAGCATTTCCACAACAGACATTAGGTTTTAAATCTTCCATTTTTTTCCAACATCTTGCTGTGCTGGATCACTGCCTGTCATGAGATTCAGAATCTACAAGCGGAAGGTTTTTATATTGGCTCTCGTTGTCCTGGCCTGTGGCTTTGCCTTTTGGAGTAGTGGGAGGCAAAAGAAGAGTGAACTGTTCTCCAAAGAAGTTGATAATGTGAGGAGTAACCGGGTACATAGCACCTCCGGAAACAGGAGGGTTTTCAATGAGACACAACCTGAAAAAGTCCAAAAGCCTGAGGTGGACAATATGACCCTCGTGTATCGTGGGATTGTTTATCAGCTGAACTTTGACCAGACCATCAGGAACGTTGAAAAGTTCAAAATGCGCAGGAAAGATGATCTGGTTGTAGTGGTCCAAGTTCACAACAGGCCTGAGTATTTAAAACTGTTAATAGATTCTCTAAGAAAAGCCAAGGGGATAGAAAATATATTACTAGTATTTAGCCATGACTACTGGTCTCCCGAGATTAACCAAGTGGTCGCCACTGTCGATTTTTGCCAAGTCCTTCAGATATTCTTCCCCTTTAGCATTCAGCTTTATCCTCAAGAATTCCCTGGAAATGACCCCAAAGACTGCCCGAGAGACATTCCCAAGAAGGATGCCTTAAAGTTGGGCTGCATTAACGCAGAATATCCCGATTCCTTTGGCCACTACAGAGAAGCCAAATTCTCCCAGACTAAGCACCACTGGTGGTGGAAACTGCACTTTGTTTGGGAAAGAGTAAAAGCCTTAAAAGATCATAATGGCTTGGTTCTGCTCATTGAAGAGGATCATTTCCTCTCACCTGACTTTTACCACCTCCTTCAAATGATGTACACTTTGAAGAGAGAGCAGTGTCCTGACTGTGACATTTTGTCTCTTGGAGGATATGCACATTCCGGCTTTTCCAGTAAGGCCAGCAAAGTGGAGGTGAAAGCTTGGAAGTCAACTGAACACAACATGGGCATGGCCATGACCAGAGAGACTTACCAGCAGCTGATCCAGTGCACTGACACCTTCTGCACCTATGATGACTACAACTGGGACTGGTCCCTGCAGCACCTCACTGTGACTTGTCTGCCCAGGTTTTGGAAGGTCATGGTCAGTGAAGCCCCAAGAATCTTCCATGCTGGAGACTGTGGAATGCATCACAAAAAGGCTTGTATGCCATCTACCCAGAAGGCTAAAATAGAAAGTATTCTGCAGAGTAATAGCAATTTGTTGTTTCCAAAGACCTTGCTCATAAATACGAAACAACCTTTAGTAGGTGTGTCTCCCCATGTGAAGAATGGAGGATGGGGTGATATCAGGGACCATGAACTCTGTAAGAGCTACCGCAGGCTACAGTGACATTGATGTTGGGCGTCATCTTAAAAGCCTTTTGAATATATAGTTTTTGTTCATGGACTGTTAAATGCCTGTTGTTTTATGGGATTTTCCCAAATATGTGGGATTTGGACTTCTTCATGAGTGTCTTTTAATAACCAAGTAAAAATTCTTGTGAAAGTTCACAGGAGTTTGATTAATTTTATTAAAGTGGCTCTCTCGAGTTTTGTTTTCCAGTTTTATGAAAACCTTTTGAACTAAAAAAGTGTTTTAATTCATGCTTTTGTTGCATAAATGGAGACTGACATTATTTTTGTGAAGGAGGAAGAAAATATAATGGTTGAACTGGTAATCATAGAGCTAATGAAAGCACCTCTTGTGTAAAAAAAGTGTATAGTATTTCTAATTCCCTAAAAAAAAAATAGAAAATGAGTCATTATACATCTCAGTATTTTTAAGAAATTATACATGGAGATATTGAACTGTCAGGAAGGGTAATCAATGACAAAAACTGATGTTTGACCTCAGTTTAATTGAAATACTGTTCATTTAGGTGTAAATTGATTTGACTCCTGAAAAAATCTGTGATTTTGAGCTTTTTGAGTTTTTAAGCATTGCTGTACACTTGTCCTGCTAAGTGTAGACACCCAACATTGATCAAGCAACAGAAACCAAGCTCTGGTAAATACTGCAGGAAAAACCAGCCACCCACACAGTGCTTGGATGAAACTGAAGATTGAATTCAGTAAAAGAAAAAACAACAAGAAATCGTTTTCTCAGTTTTTCTTCATTGCTTTCCAAAATGTTTTCTGTTAGTCTCTTAGTATGATCTGAGGTGGACACGGCAGTTTTCATTTGTAACCCACAGCCTTTGAAAAAATAAGCAATTTGGGCAACAGAGTGAGGTTCTATTTTGTAACATTCTGTATTTGTATTACACAGCCTTGGGCATGTCCATCTTATCTTGAACCCATTGTTTACATGTTGACACATCACATTTTTTTGCATAAAAGTAATAATCATTGCAGTTAAAATGTATGAACTGAAAGTAATTCACTGTCTCCCAGCATTGTAATATCCCTAAGTAATTTCTCAGAAATGCTTGGAGACTTGTAGTGGCTTATTCAAAAAAAACAATTACATGAATTTCCGTGCAGATATTTTTCTATTGCTAGGCACAAGATAATAATATATAGTATGAACCATCTCGTGTTGCAGACCTCCGCAGTATTGAGATTCAGCTTTATTAAAGGTCAAATTAGATGTTTTAATATACTAATCCTAGTATTGTTTTTCATTAGTGATGGTAAAGAAGCATATACCAAATCCAGGAATGTATCTACAGAAACATACAATTTCCGTTAATACTTGCACATTTACTGAAATTTACACATAAGCAAAACTACATTGTTGTTGTCTTTTAAATTCAGAATACTAAATTTTGCAACGAGTGAAGTTGTTCTCATTGTTCTCTACACTACAGGGAATTAAAAATAATGTACCATTTGTAAACTGCCACTTTTCAAAAGCATACATGAAATTCAGTTTATGTCACATTTTGCATTTCCTTTCTACCAACTACTCTGGTTACTGGAACAGCAGAGCTAGAAATCAGTCCATAAGAAGGTGAGATTATCACAAATTGGGATGGACTAATCTGTTACAATGTATTCATGTTGTCACTGTTTAAAATGAAATCTTGATTATTAAACATCACCATTTTAGTTCTTCCATCCACATAATGGATTTGTGTTTGCTCTGAAGAACAGTGTTCCTTATTTCAGCACCAGTTCAGGTCTTTTAATCCTGTTATGTGATTAATAGCCGATTAATACAGTAAAGTTTTTTTTAAAATTGACAACTTCTACTTGAATCGGCTGTAAAGCTTCATCAAAGTACATCATGATCTAAGGAATCAAACCTTTCTGTGTATCATTGCTCATCTGAACTCTGAAATATTAAGCTGTATTGTGAACCTTTACTATACAGTAGAAATGTTCATATATATATATACACTTTTATATAGATGTATAAGCATCTTTGCTCACATACTGTACATTTTCACTCAGGGAAAGCAGAAAAAATATTGAATCCGTGCACAGAAAAAAAGAGAAGAGATCTTACTCCGAAATGCCTAAAAGGTGAACATACAGTACTCTTTAATCTTTATCTCTAAGTATAAAACAAGACTGGTCTAAACAGGTTTTCCAACATCTATTACCAGATCTGGTTCCTTCCTTTGGAATTGATGGTATCATTTCCCTGAGGGCTGTAGCAAGCGTCACTTAACTCCTTTTCAAAATAAATACGGGGATAACTGAAAGTAAATCATAAAGTTATGACAGAACTTAAAGAGACGATTCATGAAATAAACAGATTATTTAATACAATATTCTTCACAAGGTAGAGAACGCCTACAATGGCTAATGACTTCTAAATTTAGTGGAATGCTTGAAGTGTTTTCCTGTGGCTGTTTCAGAAATAGATTAAAAAAAGAAAGGAACCCACACATTCATTAACTGTCACAGGAAACCTAAAAGTTTAACACTGCATATCAGTAAGATGCATACTTATATGATGTTAACCCGCAGTTTCTATTAAGGAAATATGTTTACGTATATAGTTAGAGGACTTTTTGCAACCTATCCACAATGTTTAGTACTACACACAGAAATAGATGGCTTGTTGTTCAATACCGTACTTGCTGTGTAACAAATTAGATGTTTTGACTACGTGTTGCAAACAGTTTATTTTTCTGACTAATAAAGGGGAATGGAGAAGTAGCAATTATCATGGGGACTGTATAATGAACAGCATCAGTCCAGCTCATATAAAAGGGAGTTCAGAAATGAGAATCTAGCCGAAGTGGTGTGATTATTAAGAACCTCCACAGTGCCATCTGTAGGGTTAATTTCCCTAATGATAGCTGGTGCTGGTTCACTGTCCATGAACTCATTCTTCTGCTCTGTCAGTAGATCATCCTCATCAAGCTCATTTCCATCTCGTTCTCCAGACTCCTCTTTAAAATGCGCAGTTCTGCTAGCTCTTTGCCCTATGCCAGTGGCAACGGGTGTGCCTGCTGTCTTCAAAGCAGTAAAAGGTACCTCTTTGCTATCTGAGCAAGGAGCACTGGGATTCAGATCACTGCCTACGGTCTCTGAATGTTTCATTGTAGCCTGTTTGACTGAGGCGGGTCTCGTTTGCTCTGTGCTATTGCCCTTGTTAAGTGCAAACCTGCAGACAGGCTCACATGCTGTATGGCAGGTAGTGATCTGTTTTCTTTTTACTGCTGCATGCGTGTTGGTCTCTTTCTCCATCTCTTGAATAACAGCTTCTGGAGATGAGGGCTCATCTCTCACACTGCTGTCCACACTGGAGAGAATGACACAGGCAGCATTTGCAGTTTCCTCTGGTATATTATTATCCTCATCCCGAGATTGATGAGACATGTCAGCATCCCTCTGAAAGAAAAGTTATTAAAACAGTTCATCTTCGTGAAAGTAAGGGGGCCTACAGCATGAGCACATGCACAAAGCACCATGTGAAACCTAGATCATTTTTTCCATTTTCATTTGTAGCCCTCAGGATTTAAAAAAAAATAAGCAAAAAGAGGTTCTTTTTGTAACATAAGGCAGTTGGAATACAATTTTGAGTGCCTAAAATCCTATCATAAGTTCTCAAAGCTTTATTACATATCCATCCATTTTCTAACTGCTTAATTCAGTACAGGATTACAGGACAGCTGGAGCCTGTCACAGCAAGCAATGTGTGCAAGGCTGGGTTCACCCTGCATGCCACCTAGAAGCCAATTAACCTACCCATCTCTCTTAGGACTGTAGGAGAAAACCTACACAAACACAACGCAAACATACAAACTCCAGGCAGATAGCTCACCAGGTTTGAACCCAGGGCCCCAGTGCTGGAAGGCATCAATGCTAACCCATGTTTTATCACGTATTTTTGGAAAAGCTGCAAACTATAAAGAAAGCTTATCCAACAAAATGTATGTAAGTGAGTGTGAAAAGTAGAAAATGCATTATACCATCCTTTTATTTGGCTTTTATATTGCAAAAAGACTTCTGTGCAGAATGTTGTGTTTTAATGACAAAGGGTTTCTGAAGCAACCCATTACTGTCACTTCCATTTCAACCTTAATTATTGCAAAAATACAAGCTGCAGCATCTCATGGTAGACAGGATAAATCTGTGTGTAAAGAGTATATGGAAAGGTACTTTTTAGACAACTATAGCATATACAATCAAAAAGTGAAGGAAAAAAATCCCCTGGTAATTATACTGGTTAATTTATAAACTCACTGATTACGGCAACATCCTGCAAATGTTTGATTACCCATTCCTGGAAAAGGTCATGGCAGAGGGATTAGTGGTGGAACAGCAGCTGGTTTCAGTTGAGGGGCATCTGTGCCTTCAGGAGCTGATGTTACCGATTGCATCCTAGAGCTATCAAAGCACAGAGTTGCAGGCACATTCAAAGCCCTGTCAGAAACTGTCAGCATCCCTTACCCAAGGGGTGCCAAGTTGTTGATGAGAATAAAAAGATTAAATTAAAACCTCTTTGAGACACAAAGCATGAGGAGTAACAATCAAGATACAGTACATTCATGTGACATGCATCAATCCACAAAGAACGATGCTTTTGACAAAACTGACTAAAGAATAGCCACCAGTACCCAATTTTTTATGTGCACTTTTTTAATTTAAGAAATTGTATTTTGTGCAATATTGTGCCTGTGCAGTGTATATGACCACAGCACATTTTCCTTCTGTGAAAGAGCAATTTTTCATCATTTCAAAATAGTTTCCTTTTGGTTTTTAATTGTACCAAGGTAAGTGAATAAAGTTTGTTAGTGAATTATCTACAAAGTATACTTTACTCTCCTTGCACATCCTCACACGTCTGCTACTATTTCAGAAAGTTAGGGATTCTGTTTCTTGGTCCCTGGGCCATTCCTACACTTCTACTCTTGAATCCTGGAGTTTTTCACTGAAGTTCCAACCTCCTTTCATTGGGCCAAAGGAAAGGAGATCCAGATTGTCAGATGGGTCATTGTGCAACGTGACCAAGGTGACCACCCATGACAAGTAAGGTAAGGTGACCTTAAGGAAAGTGAGCCTTGCATTAATTCTCCACAGGAATGATGTTGGAACATCAGTGATGGCAACAAAGTCTAAGTGGATCGAAAACATGTTTTAGTACGAGCATATCCATATTGTTATGAAGTTATAGCAGAAATTGTATAGATGTACAAGGGAACTATGTTTCAACTGAGCCTTCCCTAGCCTTGAAGCACATATGGAGGAGCGTTCACAACGTTACTTAACCTTGTATAAAATGTTGTCTTGTTATTGGCAAGTAGAATGTGCTCCCTAACCTGAGGGAAAATATAATCTAGAAAATGTAAGAGATAACCAACCATGATTGATATGTAAACCATGATTTGCCCTTCCTGTGTGTGAGTCACTGATGGTATTTAGATACAAAGCTTTATTTTCCACTTCTTTGCTGCTGTTTAGGGTGAAGAAGCACAGATGAGAAGCTTCTTCAGGAAAACAAAGCATTTACAAAAGATACACAGCTTGATACAAATCTAACTGCCTACAAGCTGCTAAAGGTGCTATTTTAAAACAGTCAATATGCAGTAAGTTAATTTTTTGAAACCATTAACCTTTTTTTAAAAAACAAAAGAGGGAAAACGTGCTTTCAGTATCATGTATATTTTAGATAATGTTCCCAATGCATGGATGGGTTATTGCATTTTTCATAGCATGGCTGTCAGATGTTCAATAGGAACTACATTGATTTTTCAGGCTCTGATGCCAAGGCTTGCATATCGTATCAGTTGAAAAAAGGGAAGGAAGGCAAGATGAGGACTGTGATTGGCTTGTCCTCTCTTTGTATAATGATCCATTTTGAGAAAGAGCGTGGAAGAACAAAGACAAATCAGTACAACATCAGAAACCTTGTTTTCCATTACTGTTTCACTCCAATGTTCTACTGTTCTGTGGACTTTTATCCTATTAAAAGGTAAAGCTTGTGGATGGTTTCAATGACGGCTGCTTTACGCACGCACAGTGGCAGTCAAGCCTAAAGTGTTCTCAATTTTCAGGGTACTATTTCACTGATGTGTTGTCTGGAACTGTTTAATTTATTACATTTGTGTCTATACGCTAAGCTGTACAGTCTGCTGGTGCGATATATTTCAGTCCACAGTGGTACATTACTTTAGAACGGAACTGACGGCTCATTATTCAGTAATGTAATTCACATTCAAGCTGTCAACCCAATGCCACATGAGAACACAATAAAGTAAATGCTAGGACAACCTTATATGTACATAAGTGAAAAGAATGTTGGGAAAATATTGTTCCATAAAAGCACTGTAATATCCCCCTGATGTTGACTACTGAGCCTCCGTAAATATTAGGACTGCAGATTGTTCTCGAGTAGGTTCTTGATTTCTAGATTTCAGCTGCCCTACAACTTTGGACGCTGCTGGTATTCTTGAGCCTGTCTACAAATCGCACTCAAATCTAAAGAACCAGTCAGTCTGTTGCAGCATGTAACAGATTTTGTTTGGAATGCAATTTTATACTCACTAGCTGTGCGAGTAAAGCTTTAAGATGTTAATTAACAGTACAAGAAAGAGGCGCTTTCCATTCCACTCGGTACAAAATGGGATATTGTAAACCGAGAATATGAATGGGAGTGTTTCCAGGTCTACCCTAATTATCGTCCGGATAGGCGGTTTTTAACATATTTACCTCTTCTCTGAATAATTCATCATTGGATGGGTTTGTCTCCGTTGCGAGTTGGTCATCACAGGTGTGGTCCGTGGATTGTGAAGCATCGTTTGGACAGCATGATTTACTGCTTTGCAGACAATAGATGCTTCCTCCACTTCCCTTTTGAGTATCAGTCGCTATCGGTTCAGGAATGATGTCTACGCCTTCAGACGGGTCAAGTTCTTTCGGTTGAGACTTTGGCGAGACAGGTGTAGCTGGGCTTTGCATCACGTTGGTCTCCTGCTGTTTTACAAGGTCGTCGGCCAGTGTTTCGTTCTCGGCCTTTTCAGCGCTGCCGGGTTCGAGATCTTCGAACCTGTCCTTTCCACACAGAGTTTCACCGACCAGATGAGTGTTCATCTGGGCTGTGGTCGGCCGCTTCAGTGGCAACACAGTTAAAGTAACGACCAGCTGTTTTTTCAGCTTAACGAACTTGGCTTCCCCTTGGTTTTCGTCAATGGGATAAGGTAAAGTCACTACCAGTCTATACGCTGGTTTCTTGGACTCCAGCAAGAACTGTTTTTCCGTTACGTTCAACTCTGCATCCGCTGCCGACTTCAGAAGAGGCAGGTCAACGGTGATCACGATCTCTTTGGGTCGAGGGCCGGGAGCAGTGTCGCGGGAGCACGTGTAATCTTGTAAATCAATGTATGACCTGTACTTAATCGTGTAACGGGGTTCAGTGGGCTCATTGCTTTGGTTGGGTGCCGGTTTGATGTAGTCTAATTTTTCTTCTCTGATCACAGTGTTATCTTCTTGAGCAGTGTTTCCTTTTTTGTCGTAAGGATATGGGAACTGTAAAGGATCATTCGGGTTCACCGGTTCCGTTTCTTTAACCGGATGCCCGTGCAGAGGCTTACGAATCACCGCCGGGTGGGGAACCCCCTTGTACTTCATTTTTAATACCTTGACATTTCTTTCATCTAGTTTGACGTTGAACTGTTTCTGGATGCCTTCCATCGCGGTTCTGTCTACTAATTTCATAAATCTCTCGTTTTTCCCGGCAATATAAAGTGTATCTGGGTGGAATACGACATCGTATATCATGTGTCGGTTGCCTTTCGAGTCCAGATCTTGCCTTCCCGGTGCTAGACTGTAAGGGAGAGACCAGTGCTGTCCCAATTTATCGTCGCTCCCCTTTCCAGGCTTACACTCAGGCTTAGCGATCAACTCGTTGCTACAGATATTGATAAAACATTTCTGTTCACCCCTCACGCTCGTCTTCAGGACGCGACACGGCTTGGGGTGAATAAACTGTATATCCATGCCCCTCTCCTGCTCCATCATCGTTATTTCTTCTTCATATTTCTTTCTGTTCTCCGGATTTGAGATTTCTTCTGCATATTCCTTCAACATCTCCCTGAATTTCTCATCCTTGAAGGCTTTGCTGAAGCGGTCGATTTCATCCGAAGTTAAATTTAATTCCTCGAGTTTTGAGCCCGATTCCATCGTTAAAATTATTTCAGTTCAGACTCCTCAGGCGTTTCAAACTTTCTTTTCAAACTACTGTTCCGCTGGTTTAGGTCGCATTTTATAGACGTGATCCATGCAGGGTTTATTTTAGAATTATGTCGAAAGCAACGAGGACTTTTCAAGTTTTTGTTCTAGCTTCTATGCTATTTTGTCGTCTTAAAATGTTTAATACATTTTTATTCTTTTTTAAAGCAAAAAAAAAGGTTAATATTTTCGTGTGACGAAAATATTCCGCGACAACTACAAACGAAGGACTTAACGAAACCATGGAAACCGCGTCTCTTGCGTTGCTAAGATAAACAATGTGGTTGTTATGGCGCGATCTCCAGTCAGGATCAACTAGATAGAAAATTGAAACTTAAAAGCGCTATCAAATTACTATTATACTATTGCATATACTGTATTATTATTATTATTATTATTATTATTAATAATAATCAAACCAACATTTTCACACGAACAAGCACCAATGCTAAAAGTATCATCGTTGTTTCATAGTTATAAACTATGCCAACAGATCTAATAGAGTACAGTACTGGTAATTACAAAATAATTGAGGATTTTTTTTCCGTTAATGGCAAAAATGAGCTTCGGTAATACAGACATTCAACTGGTTGGAGTTAGAGTTAAAGGAAGTTTCTTATGCGTTGGAATCCTTAAAAAATATGAAGTAGGCAATGAAACAGGAATCAATGTCAGATTGTATGTAAACACCTAAACAGAAGTACAGTATATCTGTAAAACACTGAATCAGTATGTGAATTTATCCTGCTTAATTATTTCTAACCCTTTAAAACAAGTAAGTATATGTTAGGTTTTCTCCACACATACTGTATCACCAATGCATTGCAATACTTTCATTAACAGTTACCTATAATCTTTTTTAATATTTTTAAAGCTCATTGCCCAAATGTTGCCCAAAATAACATTCACAGTTATATCAAGTGTTAAATTTATTTTTATTCAAGTGTTAAACAACTCTTCTATGAAGTAAAATAAGACAACACATAGTGTCCTCTGAGTATCTATTAACAAAGCAATCCAGAGTTACTGTGTCATCCCTCCAAGTGCTATAGAGTAAATAAAACTAAACATAGAGCAATTCACCTTTCTCTTAAGACTTTAATTTTCCTGGAAGTACCTGTCCTTCACTCAGTTTTAAATTGTTAAAAACATCACACAGTCCTTACATTACCCTAGTCTTACTGTGCTTTTTATATTTTGTTGATATCAAACTACAGATGAAAATCTACATATACCAAAGTAAAATGCATTTGATTTTGGCATACTTTGCAATGCTTATGCAGAATTGTCTTTTCTGGTGGATTTTTCAGCTATCTCAAAAAACAAAATCCTTTTCTGTATTGCTTGTCGAAGTTTCAGTGGCAACCATGACAGCTGTTCGTTAAGGACCCTGGAGTTTTTCCCAATGCAGTCTTCACACAACCTGTTTGCAAGGAAACAAGGTGAACTTGGAAGGAAATGTTTCTTCACTTCAACACTGTAGCAACCTCACTGTGTAGCAACTAAACATCCCAGAACACCAGACAAATTCTTCTACGCCTCAAAGCAGCTGACTGCATTCAAAAGTGACAGGCTTTGCTAAAACAGATTTAAGCTGTCTGTTTTACAACAACACTAAGATTTCTCCAAACAATACACAGCCAACTTTGACTAACACAAAAAAAGCTTTCATGTTCTGAAAGAGCCAAGCCAAGTGCACCAAAAGTGTTTTCTTTAACTCTACCCTGCCGATATGTTTTTGCATTATTCAGTTATTTGTGACTCTATCAAAGGTCACAAAAGCTGAAGGTCACATCTTTACGCAACCCTTGTAGCAACATACCGTGGAGAAATACATTTACAGTATTTACCAGGTATCCAAATTACAGCAAACATGGTAACATTGCAGTGCAGACACTACTTTCAGAAATACAGTCCGGCCACTTTCCATGCAATGAATGCACTTGTTTCAAGTTATGTATATGCTATCTGGAAAGCATAAATGAAACTCTGGGTATTTAACTAGACTTGAATTTTGTACAGACGAAGTCTAAATCTGGAAGTTTGCAAGGATGTTTTTTTTTTCTTGGATGGCAGAAACCCTGACTTCAAAGCCATTGTGATGTTTGACAGAAGAGCTGCTTTCTGAGTTGCTATTAAACAGCAGTGGTGCATTCTAGAACCCAGCCAGTGGCCCCAGTGGTAAATAAGAACACAGGGGCCAATTATTAATCAATGACACATAAATAATTCATCTTTATTAAGATGATAAATGTATTAGTAATAATTCAAATGGAATACTTGCCTGACAAGGGAGCAAGGTTGTGTTTGAAAGACAAGAATATCATTGCAGTGCCCCTGGTAAAAGAAAGCAATAGACAATGTACTAATCTCATGTGGAAGGAAATGTGGAGAATGCCCAGGGCGATTTACAAAGGAAGTCATACTTCCAAAATGTGAAAAAATAAATAGGCAGGTTGGGTTAATAAAGGTGTTTTATCGTCCTGGAGGATTAACATTTTTCACTGCTATGCTCATTCAAAATTATTTTCACAAGAATTAATAAAGCAGTTGATCTGCATGAACTGTTTTACAACTGTGGTAAAATGAATGATTGGATGCATAACCCAAGGACTTACATTGCTCAACTCTTTTAGAGCCAACACAAAAGGACTGTGGTCATTTGCTCACCAGTGGCTGCAAGGTTACTCACTGTGTCTACTGACAGCAGATCATCCTGACTTCCCCCAAAGACAATGACCTCTGACCCTTTCCCCTGACAGGCAGTGTGCCACAACCTGAGGAGACAGCACTGTTATCAAAGGAATCTGTCACAGCTGAAGGACAGACGTCAAGGTGCTTCAACCTGGATTACATCAATAGACTGGGGCCTATTTCAACATTTATCATAGTAAATGCAAACATCATTCATGCCGTTTTCCCTTGCTTATGGTTTCCATTCACTTCACTTTGCCAAAGGGTTTGATTTTATTTCCCATTCCACTCTGTACGGCTTTACCGTGAGGTTGCAGTGCTTTTCTACCTTAAGCAAATTCTATACTCCAGCGGACCTTGGGGACAACACACACAGAAATAATTCATACCGTGGAGTATTTTTTTGCAGATGCTTCATCTCTCTCCATTCTCGGCTGTGAGTGTTGAACGTCCAGCTGTCACCTTGAAAGAGTTGTTTGAACTCATTGTCAGTGCTTTCTGCTCTTACAATCGGTACAATATAAACTGAAGCAGTGACAGAGATACAATGTGACTCACTTAGGGGTTCGCAGTTTGCACTGAGCCCACCAAACAGAAACAGCACGCTGTCGGCCACAGGGGTGAGAGTGTGCCAGGAGCGACCAGCAGGAACTTGGGCTGAAGTGTGAATTCTAAAAAACGTAATCATATACACCACAGTTCAAAAAACACATACATTCCCTTTTAGGTGTGCCTGTCGTCTCTTTCTATTGAAATTATTCCACAACTACACCAACTACGGGCTCTGCACCTTCAAATCCCCCTCACAGTTGTACCAACTCCAGGAACAGGCAAGAGAGAAAAGACGTACATCTCTGACCACGTCCAGGTGTCCAGATCCAGGCAATGAATATCGCTTGTCCTGGTGTTCTAAATGGGAACAGATAATGTCCTTACAATTGAGCTACAGAGCCTGAAATTGGTGAAAACATTCTCATACTACATTAAAAACTAAACTCTGAATAAAAGACGGTAATTTTCAATTTCCTTTCAGAATTTTTATTATGGCCTCCAGTATTGTTTTTGCTCTCTTTCTGGCACTGGACACTTCCCCTTACCTGGTTTCATGTACGGTACCTATCATGACACTTTCCTTACCAACAAGCTACCAAATTTTACACTGTTGAACTAAATGTGGTGTAGAACTGAAGAGAGAGGGATATGCGCACAAGCTTTTAGAATGGGCTTCTGTGCTCCTGCTCTGCTGCGGTACCCATACAGCGCAGAAGAGGGCTACTTGACCTGCAGCTCTTCAAATTCACTCCACTGCAGATCCAGTGAGTTATCCATTACGCTCTACAGGTGACAGAGCCTGCTCTTGCTATGCCCCAAAGCCCTAGCTTTCTGGCCAGGGGCGTAGCCAGGTATTCAGTTTTGGGTGGACGGGGCCCTAACTGACCGTTCTGCCAAGATAGGGGCACCCCTCCAATTTACAATGCAATCTTCGAGCGGTATAATCAAACAGCAGAATTAGCGGAACCTTGTATACATTCTGTCTCCCTCTCTCACAGACACGGGTCAAAAAACAATTGCCTAGGCTGCTGAACGCTACTGTGCCACGGCGGACACACACACACAAACCAATCAGTGCCTACCTCTGTTGTGAGGTTTTGGCCTTCTAGACCAGACACAGGCGTCGGGGCTTGGAATTGAATATGGCGATAATCTCGTCACTGTCTAGAGAGTTGGCAAATTCCCGTTCAAATGACAGATAGTTTGCAAAGGCCTCTCATATGAGGACTTTGTCTTTAGCTAAAGAAAAGCTGCAAGAGCTCATTTTCACTTGTTGCCTGTAACAGTTCTAAGTATTTCGTATGCCTGTTTGAGGGAATGTATCTCGGGAATGAAAGCAGTACAAACACTACTTTCAATGGCACAAAAAGGCACAAACGTAGCACTAAGGAATGGAGTGCTTTTCAGTGTTTTTCAGTGTTTGTGCTGTCTGTAGGTGGGCAACTTCACGGACCTTTTACCTTGCCTTTAAATATTCAGCGGACTTGAACATAACATACTGTACCAGAAGAACGTGCACGCACGTATGGGTTTCAGAGGTTGGAGTAAATGCATCGCCGCAAGGGTAATATCGAGTGAGGCGCCATGAGAATAAAAACTGCGAAGGTTTTAAAATATTAAGTTCTTAAGATCTTGTAGATCCTTCATGATGCTTTTAAACTTGTATGAAACCAACGAAATTAGAATTCTGTTTTCGATGCCAGAAGACACCTAATTTGGACATTCGTGACTTTCCACAAGACTTCCACAACACTGAATTGTTATAGTCGCATTACAGTGCTAACCAACTCATCGTGACTTTAATTTGGAAGAATGATCTGCTAATAAAAGCGTCAAATACATACTTTGGATGTATTTTAGCTCTGTAAACGTCGCTCACCTAAAAATACTGCAGGGCATTTAGATACGATCTGAATAGTTATCTGTAAAATGCACACTTGCATATATCCGTCAATATTATCTTAATGTTATTCATGCATTCCAAAACTTGTAATTTGTTTACAGGAGAAATTTTAGAACCTCTTCGTGCTGAACTCCTACAGGTGAAGCACGTATCGAGCTGCTACAAGCAAACGCGTGCACTGCCGCTTGCGTTCCAGAAACACTTGTATTCGGGAAGCCAGGCTGTACTCCTTAAAATCCCAAGATACCTGTAGCATCCCATGTGTCTTATTTGTTTCGGGACTGGTCTGGTCATCTACAGGTGGCTTTTAAAAAATGTACATATATGCATTTGTTTTGCCATGTTGGCTAATAAACCAAAAACCTAGCGCTAGATAGCTCTAAGAGAGTCTGACGACAACGATAGCCAATCAGGCTATGGCTACGTATGCACCGCCCCACTATATTTACATCATTTTCTTATTGGCCACAAAAGATACAGCGAGCCAATAGCAAACAAGGGGGAAAAAATCTTTAAATGACTTTGGACTGATTGGGTACGCCTAGGATCAATCAGGGTGGGCCTGGTCTCACCCTGAGCTCACTGGGCTCAGGCCCACCCAGTCCCACCCGTGGCCAAGCCCCTGCTTCTGTCCTCAAAAATCATCTTCAAGGATCAGAGAGTCATCTCAATTTAGTGCTTTCAAATCCGGATTCTAAACCTTCTTCAGAAAGGCTTTTATTTCACTGGCGTCTGTGTCTGCCCCTGACATTGTCTACTGCCCTTTGAAACCCTTGTGTTTATTTGTGCTAAATGTATCTCCTATCTTTGTTAACTGCTTTCTTTTATTTTGTTTTAACTGTTCCCCCTCCATTAAGCACTTTGAGAAGCTGCTTTTAAAAGCACTATGGGAAATAAACCTTCTTTTTATTACTATTGAACGACTATGGAGCCTGTTGCGATGACAGTCTGTACTGCACGGATGGCAGGAGCCTGGGTGTAAGGCGTTGCTCACCACAACTCGACCACCACACACATATCCTTTGTTGTGCAGAGTGGCGCAGGCATGGGCAGCTCTGGGAGCCGGGACAACACCCTGCAGAAACAAGACCAAGAGACTGTGCAGACCTGCAGAGCTCAGTTCACTTCAATCGGCAACTGTTTTATTTTGATCAAATCTACATGCTGCCTTTTGGTTACGGGCACCAGCCGCACAAGGTCTCCCAGTAAATGTTTCAACTGTTTCCCATCCTGGATCTTTTAATTTTATATACGCACTAAGGTCTATATAGGGAGTCGTGGTAGCTCGGACAGCAAGGGCGTCTGGCTCCTGAAGGTCCCGGGTTCAATCCCAGGTAGGGGCAGGTGATGTAGCTTGCTCTAATTCCTTCCAGATGGCTCCCAGGTGCACTCAGCCTGCTTTCCAAATGAGTACCGGGGGTTAATCCTTCTGGGGGTAATAGGCTGGTTGGAGCGTGATACTGACCACATCACCTCCACCTCCAGTGTTGGATGGTCAAGAAAAATGGTGGCCCCTGCCCCCCATGGGCCTTTATGGCCTGAGAAGAGACCGACCTTCCTACTAAGGTCTATAGTTTTCTACATGGTAGAAATATATGTTATATCTGAATACTCATCACACTCCCATTTGAGGCTGTTAAAACCCTGAACCTGAATTTGATTTAATTTACACTGTTCGTACTGTTAACAGATTCAATAGAATTCAATAGAACTGTCTTCTGTAATTCCAAAAATAATATACACAGAATTCCCAAAACAATCCGCCCTTTCTTACAGATGTATTTGATAGGAATTCATGGGAAAGAACCCCAGGCATTACATTTACAACGTTGCACAAAACATTGCAAAAACAAAGCGCACACCGAAATTCAAAGAATGTTTAAAGTTTCTTACTCTGGTGCTTGGTTCACTCCAGGTTAGCTTTTGGGGGTCAAAAACGTGGACTTCGTTGTTCCAGCCCCAAAATATCTCCCCCACCTGGATGAGAAGTGTGCAGCAGGATGTCTGTATAAGTTATTTTAATTAAAACAAGCCAATGTATTTGACATAAAAACATGACTTACTTTATGGTATGGATTAAACATAAAAATCAATTAATCCACCAAGTCCAACATGGTTCCTTTGGGATAAGTAGCCTCTGGAACACATATCTATCACGAGGTGAAATGTTTGGAATTTAACATTGATAGGTGGACTCAGGTTTAAATTTATTCTTTTGTGTTTTACTTTTTATTAGAGTCAAAGGAAGCACACTGTGCCTCAAATAGTCAAATAGGTTCGACAACAAAACACTGTTATTTGCAATAATGCTGTGATGTGTAACACAGTGAAAAAAAAAACTGAACTAAAAAGGATTTCTATTTTCCTGTTCCCCTTGACTGAAATAAAGAGTTATGGGGACCATGGGAATGAAGAGGTGCCACATATGTTCTGTGCAGTACCCAGGAGACTTCATCTACAGTGAAGCTGGTGGAGTCACTGATCTCACTGAATCTCTTGCAGCCATAACCACCGAAGTAAATGATCCTGCAGGAGAGGAAAGAACAGGGAAGTGAGGATATTTACTTTCATCCAGTAACAACAGCTGGCTTGGGCCTACCTGGAGTGTCAGCTGACTTTGCCTAAAACAGCCACAGAGCTCTGAAGCTCACATGAATATGCCCAACAATCTTGACTAACTTGCTGAGCCAACGGATTCAGTTTTGCTTTGTGTTTTTTCCTTTTTGAAAAGTGCCCGTGTCTATTATTTATGCTCCCCGTGTTTTGCTCGAAAGTGTGCACGAAGAAGGTACACGTGCAAGGCGGCTATAAATTGCCTCCCAAATGACTGTAAAAACTCCGGCTTGTTCATCCTGCATGTTGGATTTGCTCTGGTTGTGTGCTAGTTTGGAGAGTGGGGAGGGTTAGCAATTCCCCAAGCTTGGCCTCCAGGAGACTGAGAGGGAGAAACTACATGAATAATTAACAAAGCTTTCAGAAGCTTTACTGTTAGAGGAGTTACACAAAGAGAGAGGAAAAATCTGGGGAAATTATACTTACATTAAAAAAATCAACCCTTAATTCTTCACATATAAGGAGTCGGGATAGGAATGTACGATGTCAGTAATTAGAGTTTTTCGTGTTTGTGCATTATGCCCTCTCATTAAGTCAATCATTCTCTCTGTTTTTATTCTACATTACAATGATGCCATTGTCCTGTTGAATCACACAAGTAATATGAAAGCACTGTTCACATGAAAGACTTCTCCAGGTCTAGGAACGTTCAAGACAAGGCCAACATTAAATACAAGACATTGCTTTTGAAAAATGGGGAACGTTAGGCAAATTGTTGATTGAAGATGTTTTTTTCTTCCATTATAAAGAAAACTAGCTGAATGAATCACAGGTGAACATAATAATATTGATCCCCCAAGAATCAGAAAGGTGCAGCTTAACCCTAATGGCTAGACTGGGAAATGGAAATACTAAGGTGAAAGAGGCACCTGTGTCTCAGTCATGCCAAGCTGTATGTGCTCAGTGTGTTTGGCTGTTGTCAGTTTTACAGGTGTACCTGTCATTGTAAACCCAGCAGGAGTTTTTATCTCTTGGAGTTGGCTGGCAGCCCTCAGCATAGCTCACTTTCTTCCAGGTGTATTCTTCACTTCGAAGGTTGACACAGTAAAGCTGCAGAAGCAGAAGATGACAAAAGAGCAAATTTGGATGCATCACTCCGCCTATCTGATATGCCATCTTTAAAGAAATACAGATACGATGAACTGAAAAAAAACAGGCCAAGTGGAAATCAGTGAACCCCTGTTCACATTTTCAGCATCCAAACCTATCTTGCAAAAATGCATAATGGCCTCTCCTGAAAAGGATATTATGATTAACAAACGCTTCTGCCATTTGCACATCATTCAGATAACTGTGACAATCGCAGCACTGTGATTTGGTCCACTAAAAATGGAAAGCACTGTAAAGGCTTCCCTAACCCTAACCCTAACCACAACTTGCCTGATTTGTGTAGCCATTGTCGTTATACCCTCCGAAGATGTACATCTCTCCATTCAAAGAACAGCCACAGGTGCCTGACATGGGGGGAGGGGCATCTCCTTCCATTGGATGAGCCTGCCTGATGATTCACCAATGGGAAGGTTATGACAAGGCCAAATTCTGATGCTACATCTCTGCTGTGTGAGGGAGTACTTACAGAATGGGCTGTGTGTCTTTGATTATGCTTTACAAAAAGCGTCAAACAAGGAATAATATGATTCAAGTAATAAAGTTATGGAAATATCAGTCACTTAACAAAATGTATTATAAATTATTTAAAAAACAACTGCTAAAGCAAAAGTCTATTCCTTTGAAAATTACTATTATAATCTATTCTGACAGGAAACTGATATTTCTGAATTCAGAGACACCATTATACACAATGTACAATGTCTACTCCTCTAAAGACATTAAGAGTACCATGGATATGTCAGATTAATGGTTTGAAACGTCACTTTAAAAACTTCACTTAATACTCTGTTATTATTAGCTCTGCTATTAACACACAGTGCATTAACAAAAGGCTACTGATTTGGCTCATAACTCAGGTTTAAGATTACCATATCCCGCTGTCCACATCGTACAACCATATTTCATCACTGGGGTAGAATACGCCGTGTTCAGCAATTGACTGCAGAAATGCAGAAAATAGTATTATTTCTTGGGCTCTGTTCTCACGTGTAACAAAATTTAATTGTGTAGGAGACGGTGAGAGAATGGGTCCTGTACAGTTAACCTGACGTCCCTACTGCGCCAAGTTCTTAAAATCATACCATCGCGCAGTCTATAATGTCAGAGCCCCAGAAAACGTGCCTTCCCTAGTTATGTAAACAAGCTGTCTTTTATTTCTAGCACTGGGATCGGAGCTCATAGATCTTGTAAGTTATTTGCAGTCTGCAACTTTTAGCAGCAAAGGTGAGAACGGTGAAGAGCGTTAAATTAAACCAATTATTTTGCTCATGAAAGGGCTCCGTCGTGTATCTGGAGCGCTCCTCTCCAATCGAAAACGTCATAAACCGGGACCAGGGACCAGAAAAAGCCCCGATCTGGGCTATTCCTAATAAATAAAGTAGAATTTATCGTCTTTACTTTTTTTTTTGTTAACCCGGCTGTGAACAGTATTGACTCTCGAGATGATGAGTAACTGTGCTTACCACGTATCCTCCCCACACATACACATAACCGGCGTCCGCGACGGCCGTGTGACCGCTTCGCTCGCCAGCCACGGCCTCTGCGATCTGCGAACGGGACATGGGTGCTAACTACAGAGTTAGGGCAAATTACTGAAAGACGGGGCCATTATCGGCGTGGCTTGTTTTTATTTTCTTCTTATTCTGATGGTGGGAGCAGAGGAGTATGGCAACCGCTGAGGAACAAACAACATGTCGACGTGCTGGTCAGCGCACACAGTGCGAGAAAGAGCTCTGCTCGACTGCTCTATCCTGACCTGAAGTACCGGTATCGAGAGAATTTACACGTTACTCGCAGACACAGACATCTGCAGCAACACACACACACACAGATACACAGAACTGTGGACTGTACTAGCAATTAAATGTCGTTTGTTGCCTGTCAACAAACATGATTCTTAGCAGTCCTGATGGGGCATAAATCTTTAGCCAATCCATCTAAATCTTTTCCTGCTCACTTTGCTTCTGTATGGGTGCCTTACAACGCCGTTAAGACAATAGAAATCGGGGAGATTCAAGCCCATTCTGTCTAAAGCAAGATGATTTTAAGGCTAAGACGAGCTCAGTGACAAAGACGTCCCTCCAGTAGCTAACTCCTCGCGGAGATGTTATTTTTTTTCCTACCCGAATTAGTGTGAAGACACGCCCCCCGGAGGGAGGGATAGGGGGCGGGGAGGGAGGTGAATCCCGGCTGCAGGTGTGCACAGCGCCAGGGCGGCTGTCTGCCTGTGGCGGGTTGTTTGAAGGATGGGAAGAAGAGAAGCGGGAGAGCGGAGAGAGGCGGACGCTGAATCCGCATCAGGACACCACTCCGTCCACCTCTCTACCCCTCCTCCTCCTCCTCCGTGGGGGCGTGTCTCTACAGGAATTAGGGTAGGAAGAAAAAATGACGCCTGTGGGAGTGGCGAGCGGAGCGGAAGTGGGGGAATTTAGCGCGAATTGTTGAAGATGGCGAGTAGTAAAGTTAAGCAGAAGGTTTCTTCAAGTTTCAAAATGCGGGGACTAATCCTCCGACCGTAAGTAGATTTCGTTATCGGTCGTTGGCTCTCAGTGGTTATTTTCAAGTTCATGTTTTCCCCGCTGTCGTGGCTGTAGAGAAGAGCAGCGCTAGGGATGGCACTGGACAGTCAACATCTAGGGGGTGTCCCGGGGTTGTAAGGGTCCGCAGGCAGGTTCAGGAGGGGGTATACTAGCACTCACGCAGCGGGTCTGCTCAGATAAAGCAGATCTTTAACTATTATCGTCTTTACATGTTTTGTTTTCACGCACCAGTTGTAATTTCTTTTCATTTGATGCTGCTTTGAAACTGCCGCCCCATATTTAGTGAGCTCTTGTAAGGAAGTCCTTTTGTCAGAAGACGTTGGAAATCCCTGCCGTTTCCCTCCTGGAAATTTCTGACAGCGTGCAGATGTTATCCCGTTACCTGAAGATTGTCGATCTAGTAGTGAGGAGCACTGATTTGGGCTGTTCGTATTTTCACAATGTTCGATTGGACATTTCAGGTAAAGAGAGGGACATTCATAAGGGGTTTGAGAAGCCACCTTTAAAGGCGCTATATAAAATAAAGTTTAAAATAAAGCTATATAAATAAAGTTTGCATACACCACTGAAGGGCTGGGCAGTGCCTAGTAGCTAATAGCTTTAGAATTGAGGCCAGGGGTATACATTCACTCACTTTTGCAACCTGTTTTTTTTTTTAATTTAGCGAAGCCAGCAAATACCTGGTGGAGGTTTTGGAGTCCGTTAAAGAGCAAGAGCTGGAAGATGTTATTGAACGAATCTTGGATGCTGTGGAAAAGCAGCCATGTGAGTTAAACATGTCCTATTGCTGTCCTTGTTATTGCATAGGCATCAGCTGAAGAATGCTTTATTGCCTATGTGTGGAAACGGCATACAATTGTTGTGGGTTGGAATATAGAGTGTTTGATTCTGTGGGAGGCAAGTCTATAGTCACAATTATACATTGTAGGCTGTAGCAAACACAGCACCTGATTTGCTGAATGGAGAACAGTGTGATTAGTGAAGGTGTATTAGCTTCTTAACACTTGATCATTGTGAAAGTGCACAGCAGAGTTTTGGGATTGTATTTGTTCCACCTTTTTGTGGCGTTGTTTCTGTGAATAAAGCATTTTGTCTTTCTCAAAAGTGTCCTCTAATATGATAGAGCTGGCCATGGTGGAGTCTGCAGTTCAGGAGTGCAGTCAGTCGTGTGATGAAACCATGTGAGTAATTGTTGCTGGGATGGAAAATGTCAGTGGTGACGAACGCAAACAGCATATTTCTGCTCCAAATCTTTTTGAAAATTCAACATAATTACCTAGAATCTGGGAAGTGTAAATAATAATAATAATAATTCCTTACGCTTATATAGTGCTTTTTTTGGGCACTCCACTCAAAGCACTTTACAGGTAATGGGGATCACCTCCACCACCACCAGTGTGCAGCCCCTACCTGGATGATGCACCAGTTCACTCCCCACACATCAGCTCTTAGTGGGGAGAACAGAGTAATGAAGCCAGTTCATAGATGGGGGTGATTAGGAGGCCATGACTGGTAAAGGCCAGTGGGAAATTTGGCCAGGACACTGGGGTGATAGCCATAAAGTGTAGACATTAGTAATGCTTTTCTAAATAAACTTTTATTGGAACAGTGAAGTGTAAGCTTTCCTGTTTTGTTTTATAGCTGCTTTTCACAGTTTCACCCTATGTCTTTAACTCCAGAGACCACGTCTTCAATATTATTGGAGCTTTCGATGTGCCTCGATACATCTACAACTCCGAGAGGAAGAAATTTATTCCGTAAGTTTTGTAAATTCTACAAAAACCTGCAGAGAAAGGCCGTGAGCCAGGTTAGTTTGACCCTGCTGACGAAGTGTTGTTGCCGTTGGTGCTGAGCACCATTGCAGGTTCCACAGGTTCAGACAGGTGGTGTCTGTGCTTGGCTGAGGCGTCAGTGGTGCTGAGCCACTGCCTGTGGGGTCACCACTGGGCACCCCTAAATTAAAATCCGCCCAGAAAGTATTTGATACTGTGGTCTGTTATTAATTTTCACAAATAACATTAAAGATGCTGATGTGAAACTAATAGAAAAGTGATCTCAAATGCCACTGTAACCTCCTTAATTTCCACATTTTTTCTTTTAGCTAAGGAGGCGGCAGTGTGGAGTAGTAGTTAGGGCTGTGAACCTGAAACTGGAAGGTTGTGTTCATGACTGAAACTGTTTGAGTTAAACTTCACGGTGTTGTTGAGGTTATACCGCAGTCTGTTAGGGGTTTCCCACTGCAGAAAAAAAAACACATCTTAAACTGTTTGTTTTTTTTCCAGCCTTGCCATGACGAGCCACCCAACGCCCAGTCTGTGCGGCAGAGCCAGGGACAAAGCGGAGCTCTTCAGAGAGCGCTATACCATCCTGCAGCAGGTTAGACTTCTCAGCCCCACGGTGCCTGGTGTCCCTGTACTGTATGGGGCTCCAGAAGGGCTCCGTGAGCTCTGGCCTGCCATCAGAAAGGCTCCCAGCACAAGAATCCCACCAGTACACCCACTCATCTCCCAGTGAGCCATGTAGGCCTCTATGTCCAGAGCAAGCGATCATTGTGTCAGCATGGCCTCTGATAATTTCGGTTATAGATACAGTGAAGGCATCAGGCTTTTGGGCTTCTGAAGCACTGAAATTTATTTTTTTTCATTAATATTATCTCTATAAAAACATAGCTGGATTATGAAACTCATAATAAATTATTAGTTAATAATAAGTTGTCATTTTCATATATATAAAGTCTCTAAGCAGGAACTCTATTGTACAGTTGTTCATTTGTCTTATTTTTCCCCTAATGTGGCTGAGGTGATTGAAATCTTGGGTAAATATGTACAAAAATAGCAGCTTTAAAAGAAGATACTTTTATCCGTTTTTGTAGTAGCAAAGATTATCTTAATGTCATTAATTCAGTGTTTGGAATATGTCATTTAAAAGCAACAATTAAAAAACCTATTGATTTAAGTTACATGTACTGTAAGTAAAATATTTTGTGCTTTAAGTGAAGGGGTTCTGTTTAGTTTCAAATACCTCTCTCATTCCCTGTCTTGTCAGCGGACGCACAGGCATGAACTGTTCACTGCCCCTGTTATTGGGTCAGCGCCTGAAGAAGGCAGAAACAAATTTCAGGTGAGCAACTGGACTTGATGCTGTAGCAAGCCTTCACCTTAAGATGGACATTTGTCCTTTTTTCCTGCATGGCTGTCCTAACTCCAAACCAGGACACAGATTAGACACTAACAGCTGATTGCAGTTCTAGGGGGATTCATTAGTGGGATTATAACGTCTTTCTACGTTGCATGACTTCAGGCCACCAGCTATGGGGTAATGGGGATCCCAAGTGGATGATCCTATAAAGGCCCTTTTAAAAGTTCAGATTTTGGAGGATTATATCAGGTCTCTGTCATGAGTACCTAAGATTTGCTCGTCGAGGGCATACAAGCTTGCTCCTCCTTCCCGTGCCTTGTATTCCTAATGACGAGCCTTTCTTGTTTGCTTTGTTCCAGCTGAAGACTGTGGAGGCTCTTCTCGGAAGCACCTCCAAGCTGGGGGAGGTTATTGTCCTGGGAATGGTAACACAGCTCAAAGAGGTAGGGCAAGCCAGGTTGCGCCTGCTTTTCTCTAATCCCTTTGCCGGCGAGTTCGGGCTACATGATCTGTACATGATGTCCCCTTTGCAGAGCTGAGCCCTCCCTGCTGTTCAGGGCTTTAGTGGAAGTGATGTCATGGCTGGACTATAAGCCTATTTCCCAAATAACCACAAAGGGATGCTGCAAAGACATCTGTTTCAAAAATGCTTCAAACGTGACAAAGTAGTCAAGTGGCACAGCATATAAAAAGAAAAAGATGTTTTTGTCATGGTGACTTTTAATGCTACCAAGTGGTGTTTCCCGTCTTAAAGCCATTTGGACTTGGTTTACACACAGTTGTTTTCTAGGGATTTTCACTACAGCACTTGGATTGAAAACTGCATGATATTAGCAAGGATCGTACTTTTATCTGAAAGCAAACCTTGAAACAGGAGTTGTCCTAATTATGATTTGTCTTATTTTGATGTGATGTCATGTTCTTTTTTTTTTTTACTTGTGACTACCTATGTGTGCACGTATCGTCTGTTTTATTTTTTTAGGGCAAGTTCTACCTAGAAGATCCCAGTGGGGCTGTGCAGTTGAACCTCAGCAAAGCGATATCCTTTTCAACTTGTCCTTTTAGTCAGCTCCTGGTATAAATGTCAGCTCAATGACAACATCAATCGGTGACAATCTAGTATAATAAGGAACCCGAAGAGACTGGCTTGCTCATATATAAAATGCATTTTTCCACGTTTGTGAAAACTGCCGGAGAGATAGAACGGCATCTCAATAGAGTATTGCAATAATAACAGCTGTAGGACATAGCTCCTTGTTGTTTTAATATATATTTAACTCATTTCCTCCATGGGAAAATTAAAGAGTGTTCATGATATAATAAGGGACATTGACACAGTGCTTTATTTTTCATATTTCAGCTTTTGATTTCAGCAGTATTAATCTGTAATATTATGAGCTTTAATACAGTAATTCTCCTTAACCCCTTCTGTACCAGTTTCATAGTGGGCTGTACACTGAAGCGTGTTTTGTTTTGGCAGAAGGTAAAGTGGGATGGTTACGCAAATCAAAATCGTGTAGCACATGATTGAAATTTTTCCTCTATATTTTCTGTAGCCTTCCAAAGCCTGAATCAGGGGTGTACAACTCCAGTCTCAGAGGGCAAAAGTGTCTGCAGGCTTTCATCCCCATCTGAGCTCTTCTGCACTAAATATTCGTTATAATTATTTTAGAATTAGTTCAGCTGGACCTGTCTCCCTGTCTGTTAGGTGCCGGAGATAAAAACCTATAAGAACCGCTACAGTTGAGCACGCTTGCTGTATATTTATGTTCTACAGGCTGCTTTTGATCATTAGCCTTGAGTAAAAGATCATACACCGCTTCCTTCATACCATTTCAGGAAAACCAAAAAGATAATGTCACCCCGAAGGAAAAGCAGTGCATTCTTTACTGCATACTGCAGACAGGACAGCTTTTCGTTTTCCCCCCAGTATAAAAGACACCTCTGTCTCTCTTAGAGTCTTATTCCATGCTTAGAGTCTCTTTTCAGCATGGAGTCCTCGCTTGAATTGTTGGTGCCCAGATGTTTAGCGGAATATCAAATTACAAATTACAAATATGCATTTGTAAGCATAGCTATAAAAATCACTTTCTTACACCAGCGGGAGACCCAACACCCTTTACAGTGCTCTAGGTCTGTTGTTGCGTCTGAAAGCACAGCTCTCCTTGTCTTTACAAGTGTTATGGGAGGAAGGGTGTTAGAACACGGGCTTTTCTAAGTAACTGACCTCTCTATGTTGTTGATACAGGGCGTTACGAGGACTCTGTGTTTCACGTCAACGCCTTTGGGTTTCCACCTACTGAACCGTCAAGCACAACAAGGTTATTTTTTTTTTTCCCCCCCGAGAACTGTAAATATGTGGTTGAGCTACAGTATATTGGCCTTCATAGTGACAGTAGAAGACTGCTGAAAAGAATAGACTCCAGGAACTTGTAGTAAATATTCAGAACTGATGCCATTAAAGCAGGGAGCTAATTTGAATTAATTTTGAAAACATTTTTTCTATTATTGATAACTTCATTTAACAATTTCACTTAGTCCTCCCGTTTGGAGGCTTTAGTCGAATTAATAACAGGTTCTGAGAAGGGCAGTGACTGCGCAGGTGAAAATATTGTCAGTTTGCAATACAGGCTTTTTTTCTGTCTTTAAAAGAAGAGTGTTAAAATGGACTGAAGATGGCTATTTATTACTAGATCTCACAGCTTGATTTGTTTTCAGGGCTTACTACGGGGACATTAATTTCTTTGGAGGCCCCTCTTCCACGTCCGTAAAAGCCTCTGCTAAGCTGAAGCAGCTGGAAGAAGAGAATGAGGATGCCATGTTTGTCTTTGTTTCAGACGTCTGGCTGGACAGCGTGGAGGTTCTGGAGAAACTTCACATCATGTTCTCAGGTAGCATAGGCGTACAATGGAAAGTAGGCGCCGAGACATTTGGAAGCTGTGTAGCGACATCTGGTGGTGGCGAGGCTGCACTACACCAGCTTCTGCTCACAAATCTCTTAAACGTGGCCTGTCTTCACAGCGCTTCATCAGCTAAATCAAGTGTAAAAAATATTTGTAGCTCTATTTAAAGGAAAAATACTGCAATGCTAAAAATGTCTCATTATTGTAATGTAGCTAATGATTTGCTTTTAAATATATTGTATATTATTGCTCATTTACATGCTTTGTGTCTTGAGTGTTCAGTGCAGTGCCCTGTGGGAAATTTAGTAGCCCTCAGTGTTGCTGAAGGACATTATCTAAATTCAAATTAGCATACAGAGGAAAGGCAGTGGCTAGTCATAATCTGTGCGCAGGACCGTGACTGAAGTCAGGTCATTAGCTGTCATTTTAAGACGGAGGAGTGGCAAGAGGGTACTGGGTACTTACGTTGCTGTTTTGGTGCATTAAGAATGACTCCTGCATGTTAGGACCTATTTGTCACTGATCCTGCCTTCAATCTGTGACTAAAGTATGACACAGCTACGAGTTTTTTTGGTCTGTTTTCCCTTGATGTTTCACAGGATACTCGGCCATGCCACCCACCTGCTTCATATTCTGTGGAAACTTCTCTTCTGCCCCGTATGGCAGAAGCCATATCAAATCCCTTAAAGGTGAGCGGATGCGAAAAATAACTGCGAATAATGGGCACATGATGTTTGGACCCTGTGTTAAATGTTTCCCGCCCCTCTCTACCGTGTATAGTTTGTTCCATTTTCTCCAAGAAGGGATTCAACTGTTTGAAAATTCAAACTGATCTCTATTTCACACACGTACAGGTCCTTCTGCCCATCTGGCCGTTTTGTTTTAATGTTTTTGTTCCTAACAAAATATCTTACTAGAACAAGTAGAGGTTAATTCCACACTGAAATGTAAAAAGAAGAGTTGAGCGAAAGCAGAAACAAGATTTTGAATCTGGAGCCTTATTACAGCTGGACAAGGCTTCAGAGTGTAAGCATTGTCATTTCTGTTTCATTTTACTTTTCATCATGGAATTAACATCTATGACTAATGAAGACACAGTTCTTTGCAGTCTTGTGCTGTATTTATGCTAACTTTGCAAAACAAATTGGCTTTTGAAGCTGTTTTGTTTTTAGAATCTCAGATCTGGTTTCTAATGATGTTGATTTGCTTCAGAGTCATTGAAGGCACTAGCTGATGTGATCTGTGAATATCCCAACATCCAGAAAAGGTGAGCTTTCTCTAATGAACTTGTCTTGCAGTAGAACCCGAGGTGACGGCAAGCATCTAGCAGGAACCTTCATATTACTGTTGTGTTGAAGTATTGAGGAATGTAGGGTATGACTGGCCTGTTTTTTCACATTAGATGGAAATGTACAGTACTAGCTCCTTGCCATCAGAATTATTTAGTTTCCTATGCTGCCATAAAGACACAGACAGAAACTGCTGTTTATCTCCTCCTTCAGGCGCTGTAGTTTGAGCTGTACAATGCAGCTGTAAGAGTGTAGCTCAGTCTGGTATAGTCTGGGCCAGCAGTGCTGGACTGTGGCAGCCTTTCCCTGTCATTGTGAGGATGGAGGAAGTGGAGATCCAGCTCGGTCTTCCTCCTTGTGTTTGCCTGGCAACTTGGAAAAATAAACATCCATCAGTTCCGTCATAAAAAAACAATGCCGAACTCCATTCAGACAGATTTGCTGGCACCACCCACGTATAAAGTGAATTGAAAAACTTTTTAGATTCGTTTTTTATTTGATTTCAGTGGTTGAAATATTTAGTCATTTTAATAGACTCATGTTAAATACAAAAATAATTTCATATCAGTGCGGATTTGGCAGTAATACATGCTAGATTAAGATAAAGCTTCAAGCAGTGTGAAGCAGGCCATGGTGCTACGATAATTCAGTATTATTGTTCGGGCGGCTTGATGTTTTCGCTAATCCTGATTGTTGGTTGTAAACATCAATCTCAAAATAAACAAGACTGAATTTGAATTTCCTAGATAATGCCATTTCTTCGGGCGAACAAGACACTGATTCAAATTAAGTGATGATTTTATGTAGCGTGAGGCATTTTATTAAGACTGTAATAATAATGAATAATTTGATAATGAAATGGGTAGTCTGCATAATGACTCTCAGAACGGAACTGTTCTAATAGGAACAATTGAGCCACGAAGCAGGATCTGATTTTGTTGTTCAATGCCAGGAGAAACCACAGTGTCCTTATTCTTCATTTCTGTGTTCTGTGGAAGCACTGACATTTTCCTTTTTACGGTTGACAGCAGCCGCTTCGTGTTTGTCCCCGGCCCTGAGGACCCTGGGCCCAGTATGATTTTACCCAGGTGAGGACCCGCAACGGTGCTGCCCGCTCACGGCTTCGGGCTCTTGTCCTCTTCCTCAGTGGTACCGTATCCACACGGTGCTTGCCTGGGACATGTGCTTTTCTTTCCCTGGGGTCTCCACCCTTTATATTTCAGTGACTTTCTTGGCCTTTCGTGTCCAAGTGATTTATATCGGAGAGAACTCTTTTGAGTTATGCATTGCTCCCTTTTCCTGGAATAATGAACAGTGCAACCTCGAGTCCTTTTATGTCACGCAACACTTACTGCATCATTAAGGGGATAGAAGGTGCTGTTGCGTTAGAAAGGCTATTACACATGGCCGAACTGTCGGTCTTTCACAGCTTGAGGAAATGGCCTTTTGTGTAAACCTAATGGAAATGTAATTTTCCGTCCACAGACCCCCGCTTGCCGAGCACATCACTGAAGAGTTCAGGCAAAAGGTGCCTTTTTCAGTGTTTACAACGAATCCCTGCAGGTAATGGCGACGACGGAAAGCTGGCTGGTAATCCCTGCACCGGCCCGGATCATAAAATACAGACATTTAGTTTCCGAGCTCGTTGAAGCTTTGCATTGCAGCATTGAAATGGCTTTCCTGCCCCTTTTTTGGGTCAGAATCCAGTACTGCACGCAGGAGATCGTTGTCTTCCGGGAAGACCTGGTGAACAAGATGTGCAGGAACTGCGTGAGGTTTCCCAGCAGCAATTTAGATATTCCCAACCATGTGAGTATGACCTTGAGGGAGAATATCTGCATTTGTAAGCAATGCTTAAAGGGACAATAAATAGACACTTCTCGACAAAGCTGGGGGGGGCTCTTGCTCTGGACAGATGTAGGTGTAATACAGCCCCAGGCCGTTAATATATGAATCTATGAATTGCTGTTTTGCATTGAGTACTTTACAATTCTAGCCCTTATGAAGCCCAGCGTGTGATAACCACCCCACAGCCATACAAGTCATGCTTTGTTTTACTGCTTTCATGCATGCTTTCTCTACTGCTCAATTAAGCATCCATGCGGCTAACTTTTTTTGTACCTTTTCTGTGTGGTCTCTAGTTTGTGAAAACTATCCTGTCACAGGGTCACCTGAGTCCCTTGCCACTCTACGTCAGCCCGGTGTACTGGGCGTATGACTATGCGCTGAGGGTGTACCCTTTGCCTGATGTCATTGTGTTTGCAGACAAATATGATCCTTTCCACATGGCAAACACAGAGAGCCTCTGCATTAACCCGGTACAGTATTCGGGGTTTCTATGGGCATCTTGAAATGTCAGGCTGTAATTTGCTTACTTTATGCCGAAGAACGAAATCTGGTACTGTTCAAAGGCACTTAGCGTAAAACTGAGGTAGAAACTCTCAGTTTTACATTTTCATGTTAATTATGAATTGTTACCTGGACGATATCAGAAAGGCAAAATATTGGAACTCTACTCGAGGAAACGTAGTTCGTAGCTGTAAGAGGAGTGCTGCCTGCTGTATTCTGGTGTGAAGAATTCACGAGAGGTTCCGTACAAATGTGAATAAAACAGGTTAGGAAATTCTGGAAATAGATACCGTGTCGGGCTTGACAGTACAAGTGCAGTGTTGGCACAGAGTGAAACCCTTTCCTTGTCTTTTCTGCTCTCTAGGGTTCTTTTCCAAGAAGTGGCTTTGCTTTTAAAGTTTACTACCCCTCTAGCAAGACAGTTGAAGACAGGTAAAGAAAAGCTCCTCTTGCATTTATTTATGCCCGTCACAGTTTCTGAGATCTCACAGTCTTTTCCCACACATATTTCTGACTGTCTTCGGGGATAAATCCATTTCTGTGTGAACATTTGTGTACTTTTAAGAAATATTACATTCAGATATTTAGCAGACCTACAGCATAAATTTACAGGTTATAAACTGGGCATTTTTAACAGCTACTATAAATTACCTTCTGCCCAGAAAACTACCTTTCCTGGTGTGTGTAAAATAGACTACGGGTCATAGTATGTTGGTTTTCTAAGCGTCTTGCTTTTTGCAGTTAGCCTTGGCGTTACTCTGATGTTTTTTTTTCTTCTGCAGTAAACTTCAAGGCCTTTAAAGGAGGGGGGGCTACTGTCCAGAATCCAGCAGAGAGCAGGCTTGTGTGGATCAAGTGCTCCTCATGTAAAATAACTGTACAGTCATTTTCTATAATATTCACCCATTACACAGAATGGGTTCTAACCGAATTTTATTGGTTTTATTTTTCTTTGCAGTCATGAAGTCTTGTTTGAAATGGAATAAAAAATTAAATTCCTGGGGATTCTTGCTAATTTCTTTTTTTTTAAACAAAAAGTGCACAAAGGCCTATACGAACTAGAAGAGTAACTTGTCAATTGCATCATTTCTTTTAAGTGCTGATTATTTTATTGACAATTGCCAAAAGGAACTGCTGACAAGGTAAAAGCAGTGTCCACCTGTTCCCTTGCAGATACACCAGGTTAATCGTTGTGAGAGTTGGACAGTCAAGAGCAAAGTGCACATTTTTATATTCTTTGTGAAAGCATAGCATCACCTGTGTTGTACTGTTATAATTTAAGGAGGCAAACGTCTCACTTTCATACGTATAAAATGATCTGGTTAATGAAGCTTAATTTTTTTAGTCAATAATACCTATTAGGCTGTAGTGGCAACTATTCTCTCCCTAACACTTCAGGAAAGCTTATTTAAAGGGCTTAGGGCTGAAGTAAATATTTCAGCATGGGTTTGAAGACACCCAGTAAATTATTTTAAGGTAGCAATTCTGTCTTTAAGCTGTAATAGTAATAGTAATAGTTTATTTCCAGTTCAACAATAATATATTCCCAACCATCGCAAATATGATGCATACGATTCTGGAATCCCTAATATATGTGTCTGAAATAGTACGAAAAGTCGGTGAGGTAGAGAAGCCTGAAATGAGAGTTTAATTTCCCCATGATCATTTTTCCAAACTGGTATACTGGACGACAGTGCCAGAGATCCTGGATCTAACCATTTGGAATGGGTTAGCCTGTCCAATGTGCGCTTGTGTGATGTGAGATTCACTTCATGCAGTTTGTGTCCAGTAAGGTTATACACTGCATTACATCGTTTTCCAGAAAATGTACATGTACTGGTATTAAGATCTTATTCTCTGTTAACTTATGACGGATGCAATTGTTTTATACTGGGATGCTAGACTATAACCCTTAGAAAAAACATTTTCTGTTTGAAATTATTTCTTGATTTTCCAGTTTCCAAAAGAGGAGAGGGCATTATGTAGTATGAACTTTCCTTAACTAATACGTATTGGGGAAAAACACTAGTCGTGGACATCACATTTCTCTTTTAGATTGTGAAAATATGTTATAATTAATTTCCAAAATGTGTGATGTTAATGGTCCTGGAATTTGTGGAAAAAATATTTTTTATGACTTTTTTTTTTCTGAAGAAAACAAGATGCAATCAGGTTACAAAATACTCAATTTTTCCAAAATCTGTTACACTTTGCAACTTAGAGGTATATTAAATGGAAGCACCATACATCAAAAATAGATAATTCATATGTATTGTGCAATAATTACTTATTTCTTTGAACAATAGCACCTTGTACACCTGTGTAACATATAGTACATATCTTGTCACCTGTAACATACTAAATATAAGCCCCTAGAAAACGTGTAAATAGTAAAAAAACTAGGTAAAGGAAGTAAAAATATGCAGATGTGACACTTATCTGGAATTTTCTTGAAGCTCCTGTAAATCAATATCGGGTTTGAAAGAAAAAACAGTTTTATCACGATGACATTGAAATAACACAGACTACTACAGCACCAGCAGGACTCTTGTGACCTTAAAAAGATGGCGACTGTGACCTGCTACTGCAGGTACATCACTTCCTGCCAGGCCTGGCGCGAGGATCGTCGCTTTCAGACAGACAGCAAGCGAGCAGCAGCAGCAGCTGCGAAAGCAATTGAAAAAAGAAATTTTATTTTCTTGTAACAACAACTGTAAGTAATCTAATGTTGCATCATAGGTTTCGCCTTCTCATTCTAACATATAGCCCCCTGAAAGGAAATTCCATTTACTAGTATAAAAGAGAAAACAATCCGAAGTATTTGCAGTGTGCGTTTATGTTTTCTAAGGACACGCTTTCCACTTTCGCATTAAAAAATGCCATTTTACAGGCGGGTCTTCCTCGCACATCTGAACAACGGAAACAAAACAACTTGCTGCGTTGCGTGTTGTCCCTCGAGAACCTTTTGCTCCGGTGGAAACACCAGCTCTCGCATATACTTGCTGCTTCGGTTGCATCACAGGCAAAAGGTTAAAACCCCACCAGACCGCAACTCTGTCAACGATGTATTTTGAAATGTTTCCGTGTGATTACTAAGGTAGAGTGAACCAGTTCTGAGTTAGACGCGATTCGTAACCTGATGTTTTACTGTACGTATACAGACGTCGTCAGCTTCGCTTTCGAGGGCGTAATAACAGTAGGTCTCTTAAACACTGCTATGGGGGATTACTGCGTTTCGCATAAAACGTAGGGATTTAACTTTTGAGACGTTCAGTATTTATTTTACGTGTTGCATAGAAGTTGCATATAATAGGTAAATTGTTCACTGGCCTTTGTGAAGACGTTCAGCTGTCGTTGCAAGTTAAAGCGTTATCTATGTAGTACGCATTTTAAGTTCAACCTTTTAAGTGGTGAATGCAGTGCTTTTACAGGCCCTTGACAACAAATGCCAACTAAATTACAGTTGATTGACACGTTGCAGCAGTTACCACTGTATCCGGAACAGGCTGGAGTCAGAGGGTGTGTGTTCCCTGATGAGCATGGTGATGGCTGTGTTTTTTTAGGACAGCATGGCGGAAGCAAATGAGGATGAGTATGATCCCGAGATGCTGGCCGATGAGGAAGAGGAGGATGAGGAGGACTTTGACTTGAATTCAGCAGATGAAGAGGAGGACTCTGACACCGCAGACGACGATGACGACGACCCGCTGAATTCCGAGATCACGTTGTACGAGGGGGAGACCGACAGGCCTGCCGAGCGCAGCGGCCACATCGCAGTGGCTGATGGGAGTTATATGTATGTGTGGGGCGGATACAAGGTGTGTTGAATTTGTCACTTTTAAGTAACTCTTTCATGCGCTTCTGACTCATGTCAGTGTCTGTCCTGCTTGTGGTTCCATTTAGGATCTTCCAAATATGCTAACTCAAGGGTCATTAGCCACTTCAAGGTCCTCCGACACTGTCCTAGAGGAGCACAGTAAAGAGAAACGTTACAAGTTTTCAAACATTCTAAAGTCTAATGGTGTGCAAAATCTATGCTCTTACATGTGGGTCTTCTCTTACCGCAAACAGCAGTTTGGTTTCATGTTGAACAATGTCTTGAAAAGGACACCTCAGCTGGAAAAGATTGACAGCTCTGTTCTAAATCCTGTTTTTAAGCGAGTGGTATTAAAAGTACGCAGAAATACTCACTGCGCTATAAGAGAGATTATTTCAAACGAGAGAAACTGTCTTTTAAAGCTTCTTGTGATCTTTAGTTCCTAAAATGTGGAACTAGACAAAAAGATAAGTGTACTAACAAGTTTTATAAATTCAGAGAAGGTAATGTTTGTATTACACAAAGTAATGGTCCTGAATGAATGAATGATTTTTTTATGGTTTTGCAGCCCCTGAATCAGTGTTTTACTCTTTCTTCCAGAATTCCCGAGGAACTGGGCATTTTGATTTCTATTTGCCGAGAGGTGAACTCTGGATTTATAACATGGAGACAGAAGGATGGTAATGTGATTTCAAATTCTAAGAAAGTCTGCGTGTCGTGTGAGACTGTGGCATTTTTAAGAAAAGCAATCTGGAATTGTGTGAATAGACACATTTGTTTCCAGTATAGCACTTAAATTTCTCCTGGAAATCCTGTGGCTCAGTATTGAGATTGTGGGTCCAGGCAGTTCTCTCACAGGAGGCGTTTCTCTGCAGGCAGAAGAGGCAGGCGGAGGGCGATGTCCCCCCATCAATGTCGGGCAGCTGTGCCGTGTGTATGGATGGAGTTCTTTATCTTTTTGGGGGACATCACAACCGAGGAAATACCAACAGGGTGAGCTCATCATGCGATACAACGACACAAGTTCAGATCGCATTGCAGGCCCTCTTACAAAACAAATTCCTTGAAAGCTTTCAAAATGTATGGTTCACATTCATTGTAACTACTACTGATGTGAGCAAACAGTAGGTTTGGAAAATTTGCTATTTGTATCTGTTGGTGGGTAAAAAGACTGGATTAACAGGCATTGCCTTGTTTCGGATTGCTCATACCTGTGCATATTTGGGATGTGCAGTGCTACAGACTGCCTTTGAGGTGTTCGACTCTTACCTGGGAGAAGATGAAGGATCTGAAAGGACTGCCCCCTACCTGCAAGGACAAGCTGGGCTGCTGGGTTTACAACAACAGGTGAGAGTTACCCCTTGAGCATTTTCATGCGTTCTCTCTGTGAGTCAAGACTAGCAAGAAGCACACTTCCACCCACTAGAATCATATAAATAATTTTACAGACTACCATGTCCGAATGAGTATTGGTAATGCATCTGTTAATACGATAGTGCGAGAATCGGTATATAAGAGGGGCAGGCGCAGTTGAGAAGATTGTTTCACAGTTGTTGTGCTTGTGTTTGCCACTAAGAAGTTGTATACTGGTAGAACTTCAAAGGGTTGAGTGTAACATTTTTTAAAATTTATCTGTGAGAGACAGCTCTTATTTTCCAGTTTTGGAGTGGAGAACTGTTTTGCATTTACGTGCATCATTTTAATGTTTCCATGTGTATTATCGTTCCCTCTCTCCTAGAATGTAGCAGTAGATATCAACTCTTCATGTTTCTTTTAAGCTGTCAGTTGTTTGTGATGTGTGAAGCATTCATAGCCTTGGTAGTAGTTTTAGTGATTATAGTGATTTAGTGGTAGTGATTTAGTTTCTGACACCATTCATATACTTTTCTGGAAAGCTATTTCTTACTGCAGAAATATCTTGTTCCAACAGATTGGTGTACTTCGGAGGGTATGGCTATGCAGCCAGCAGAGAACATACTGGAACCTTCGAATATGACGAGACATCATTTTTTGTAAGGCAGTATGCAATGTGTCTTCTTTGTAGGTTTCTCTTATTAAACCCATGGAAGAGATTGTGAGAAGCTCTCTTCCATGCAATTAATTTGATTTTGGAAATGTAAAATAATGGTTAGAATACTTTTTCTTACAACAGGAATGTGTCTAGATTGGATGCAGCCCATTAATTAAATTAACAGATTTGATTAAGACTTAGAACATGAAATATTCTTCTATCCGATTTACTGTGGAACGAAACCTTTACAGGCAAAGTAAACATTGGTCTGTTTCATAATTATATGTAGGTCTTGTCAAAATTGTCTGATGTTTGAAAAGTAGTTTTGGTAATAATATTATGTGTGAATCACATTTTGTGTGAACTGAAATGTCTTTCAGTATAATTGAGCTGTTGTTCTTATTTCCCCTAGTAAACATACTTGCTCAATTAATTGATAATCAATAACTGGCAGTATTACGAGAGAGATTGCTGTACGCACTGTGTTGCATTGCAGGCCAATGGCAGTACCCGCGGCTGGAACAATCACGTTCACATGCTGGATCTTGGGACTCTGACGTGGAGCCAGCCCATCACAAAGGTACGCAGAGCTGTTCCGATTTGCCCTGGTGGGGACGTTTCTTTAAACTGACCTAAGGCTGGCAACGATCGGCAATGAATCCATTTTTTTGGCATCGCTTCCCGGTGGAGGCTATAGATTGGTCCTGTGATCAGATCAGACGAGATTCATTTTGACGGTCCCATCAGGGGGAATTGTTGGCGTTTGTGGCCGGCTGAGGCGTGTGGAGCTCTGGCCTGTCCACATGCTGGGGTTTAGTTTGCCCAAGGATGGCTTGTACTGGCCGTGCAGCAGGTACAGATCATTTCTCGTGTGTGGAGCGCTGCAGTGTCCCAGACTGTTTATCGCCTCTTACTCCCCTCCAGGGTTACCCCCCCTCCCCAAGAGCTGCCCACGCCTGCGCCACTCTGGGAAACCGGGGCTACGTGTTCGGAGGCAGATACAGGGTAAGAGCTGCCATGTGCCGTGTGGCTCACTCACGATTCTCAAGGTTGCGCGTGTAAGTAACTTGGCATCGTTTCTCCTCCCCACACATAGGAGTACCGTCTTAACGACCTGTTCTTCATTAACCTGGACACCTGGGAGTGGACAGAAGTGTATGTATTATGTGTCTGTTGTTCTGTGTTTTAATCTTCTGTATAAATCTCGCTGGTCATACCAAAATGTATGTACTGCTTAGAAGAGGTTAGGAGGAGGCGCTGCAGACAGCACTCCATATTAATGCCTGAACAGTGTTTCTGTGTACGCGTGAGCACTGCTGTTGTGCGGTGAAGTCGTGGTGCGCTGCCCTGTGAAGACCCTGATAGCACTGCTACCCTCTCCCTCAGGTGCGTGCCACAGCACGGTCCAGTGGGTCGCTCCTGGCACTCCTTCACCCCTGTGTCTCCTGATCACCTCTTCTTGTTCGGGGGGTTCACCACAGATAAGCGGACACTCAGTGAGTGGCAGAGCTGTCTCCCTGCTGTCAGCTCTCTAAATCTTCATTGAGGCCTCGGGTGCAGAGAACTCTTCTCTAAATCAGGACATCGGGGGAGTGTGGGTGGGGAAATTGTCCCCATCTCAAATGCAGTTTATTCAGTAGAAGTTTTAGTTCTGTTTTTTATTTGCGGCTTATCCAGGTTAGATAAGAACAACAGAAAACACGATAATGACAAACCTTCTTTATAGTATCAAATAAAATATCTAATTAATTTTAATAAACACAAAGTTAATTTAATTTGTGTAGCCTGGAAAAGTGTACAGTCCTGGTCGAAATAGATTGTAGTGGGTATTGTGTATACATGAAGGCTGCCTGAGAGTACAGTGTTTTATAATTGCTCAATGTGCAAGTAAACATTCTTCCTTTATGCCACAATGACTTATTTTTGCCTTTCTTTTGTTCAGGTGATGCTTGGTTGTACTGTGCAAGCAAGAATGAATGGAAACCTTTCAAGCACAACCACACAAAGAGCCCCAGGTAAACGCTAATCGGAACAATGGTACTACGGTAAGGTGTATAGAACATGGGTTTATTTCAAATAATCATGATTTAAGGCCATTTGAGTTCATACAAGTATAATCAATATAACCATACTGTGCAAAAATGTAAACATATTTATGCTTTTGTTTAGATTTGTTGGAATTAGAAAGATCTAACCTCAGAACTAACTTAAGAGCCTGTTTTGGGGAGAGCAGGTTTTTACTCCTGTACTGTTAAGCTCACCTGACGTTGCCCAACCTGTTTTTATAGGCTGTGGCACACAGCCTGCACCAGTGAGGAAGGAGAGGTGATCGTATTTGGTGGCTGTGCGAACAACCTGCTTTCACAACAGTTTGCTGTAAGTACTTACCTTTTGGGATAAATTTACATTCAATTAAACTAAGTTCCCTTGACACCAGGAAGCTTCTAATGAAAGATAAAGTCACGTTAATCCCATCATTTAGACTGGCGTGTTATTTTTAGAAAAGCAGGGATAAGAAGAGATTCAGTATTTTTCTGTTAGAGGCCAATTATACTTTGTCAGACCTAAGATAATGATAGTGCATGAAGCTTTTCTTCAAGTGACGTGTCAAAAGCAACAAGATAATTAGCACTGCATTTTTCTGTCTAATGATGGATTCTAAAAATGGTCCTTTAGTCTCTGCTACATACAGTGTATAACTGTGTACAGTGTTCTGCATGCCACAAGTAAACTTCTTTTGTAAAACCATTAATACTTTTTTATGTTAGTGCATTTTTACAATTTAAAGGATATTGAAATTGGGGTAATTCATGTTGTCATCTTTGTCTTTCAATAGCCAAGTGGAAATGCACAGTGTCTAAAATGGGTGGTGTGATTTCTTTTTCCCATTCAACAGGCCCACAGTAACAGAATCCTTATCTTTAGTGTTCAGCCCAAGTCTCTTGTAAGGTGAGTACGATTTCTTGTTGGGTTTGTGTTCCAGTCATTTGCAGCTGATCTACTGCAACACAATCAAGAGACTGTTCTGATAACTCTCTATGTAAATCAGGCAATAGACTGTTGTCAGCTGAAACACAAATAATGATCTTCCTAACCCGGGGCCTGTTTCTTTGCTCAGGTCTTGCATGGAGGCTGTGCTGTGGTACAAAGATATCCTGGCTGGAGCCTGGCAGTGTCTCCCCCCCCATCTGCTACGCCTCCTTTCCCAGAGACTAGACAGCACAGTGGGCTCCTCGGGTGGCAACACTGGGCCGTGAGAGACAGGGGATACGCTCTGGGTGTTTATATTCTTTTATATGTTTATTTATGAGCCACGGGATCGTGTTCTCTTGCTAGGAGAAAGTACTGTACATTTGTCTAGTTTTTGAGCTGCACATACAGAGCATATTTTTGTGCAAACATTTGTTGCTTGTATAGTATGTAAATTGTTTAAAATAAAGTTTCAGGGGAGATATTGTTTGGTTAAATCTAAGACGTCTTTCAGTCATTGATCCTCACTTAATGTGGAGCTACCACTGTGCAGGTTTTATAGGGAATGTAATGCACCTTGGTAGCTAAAGGTCTGGAAACACTTGTGATTCAGACTCAGTTCAGTTATTCAGGTTTGCTCAGGTAGAATTAAACCCAAAAGAGCTTATTGTGTTCTAGGACCAGGCTGGAAGCCCCCTAGGTCTTATCTGCAACTATTGTTTATTCTGGAGAGGTTTTTAGGCTGCCAGCCCTGGAGTGCCACAATCCATCAGATGCTTGGAGTCAACTTTAAATTAATTTCTAAAAACCTGAGACTTGTTTTGACCACTGAAGCTGGTACACAAATCAGCTTGGTGATAACTTCAACTCTTAAAGATAACGGCTGGACTTTCCTGCCTGACTTAGGAAAACGATGCAAGCTCATCTGTTTCAAGGATGACTGAAGGGAGTCCTGTTGGATGGTGGCTGTCCAGAACCAGGGTTGGTCACGTCTGCCAGACTATTTTGAATGTTAGTGATTGAGGGCAGAGGTTTCCACACTCAGGCTGGTTTTTGATCCAGCCCTCTCTTCATCAGATCATCGATAACACTAACAAGAAAAAACTAGATGTTTTCAAGTGTCATTTATTCTGCTCAAAGTTGGAAATCTTAAGTTACAAAACATTAAAAGGCAGCCTTTGTCTTGAGGAGGGAGCAAAAAACAACTAACACCATTCTGGATTTTGTCAACTGGTCCTTTCTTGTCAGTCCAATCAGCAGAACAACACCGTAAATTGGAACTGCCCTTTTATCACCTGCAAAAGTGCCTTTCAGAAGATCTGATTATATTCATTTTGTTTTGGGTTAAAGTGTACTCTGGTGTTACTGTTTTGAAATGCTTTAATTGTTCATACAGAAATGAAGAAATGCATGTAAAATTCTTGTTAATGGTAACATTCAATGCACGTTCAAAGTGTTCCAGCTGTTCTTTTTTATTGTTCACAGTGTTCTCTGTACATTCTTGAAATGTGGCTGTTTATACTGTCCCATTAAAAAAATCCAAAACTCCAGTACTTTCCAAAGTTGCTAAATTACATTTTTACACCAGATTTATCCTAGCATCTTTTCTATGACCACCGTGCTGGTTTATCTTTTCTTTGCCGCCAACAAGTTGGGTGCTGATACTTTAACTTTTCCTGGTATATTCCTGGATAAATCTGTGTCCTGAAATATAAAAAGGCATTAAAAATACGTAAACAACGGATGGCCTTTGTGTGAAGTTATTCATATTTAGGCAGGAGCTATTCTGCACTTCACATCATTACCTTCACACTGCGGAAGAGGTCTTTCTCTCTTGCTGTCGACTCTTTGGCACGCATGAAGCTCTGCACGGCAGTTCTGGCCGCTGAGTGAACATGAAAACAAGCCAGGCTCATTTCAAGGGTCGCCACGAAACAGACATGACGACAGGCACACAGCCTGTAAGTTACTTTGGAGCAGATGTAGAGAAAACCTTCTGAGAACAGCTTCTCAGAGCAAAGGGAGGTATACGCGGTGTCTTTCAAAAGAGCATTTGGAGAATCCACTCCTTTCCAATCAAACACAGTAAGAGCTGAAGTTAAATTCCTACCTTTTCCCTTCTTCTGTGTACCAGGAGTCAGCTTCACCTTGTACCTATAACAGAGCGATATGATACTTGTTACTTCTAATCAATTGTAAAACAAAAAATCTTAGTGCATATTGGGCTTTCAAGCACCAGAAAATAGGATTCAGGAACAACGAAAGCTAAACAAAAAGGCAGCAACGTACAATTCTATTTTTGACACCTTCAGGCATAACCTGACACCTTTCAAATATAACTATCTTATATACAGAAGGGAAACATTTAAATAAGATGCCGAGATTGTTGTGATGTTTCAACATAAACTTGCACTATCATTTAACAGATCTGGATGAAAGATACTACAGCCCCACAATTCCCATGGTGGTGATCTTACTTGTAGCTGGTGAGGGCAGTGTAGGGTGCACACACTGGAACAGAAAACATCAGCATGTCCTCAGGGTGGGGCTGACCTGTCAGAGAGTCCAGTGGGTTCTCTCCTTCCTGCAACACCAATAATGAAATGAATGAATTAACCTTTTTTGCCTCTAAAGGAATCTGTCTTGCACATTAAAAGCCTATGAACAACATATACATATAAGAGCAGTACAATATCCTAATACAAAACAACATCCAACAACCTCACTCAGTCGGATCCCTTCCAGTCCCATAAGATTAAAAATCAGAAAATTAGTTGGTAAAGAGTCTAAAATCAACAATAACAATAAAATCCCTACCCCCAAACAATTTGTTAATTCAACATCACACAAGAAGGAACAGACAACACACTCAAACTCAAGACGGGGATCCTTTCACACATCGTGAATGGACAGTCTGCATGTATACTGTACATGCACACATGTATATTGCCCTACCAAAAATGTACAGAATACCTGAAAGCAGGCCTGACCTGCCTATCACTTTTTGCAAGCTTCCAAAGCAGTCTGAATTAACACACCATGAACCGAAGGCACTTTGCAACTTCCACACCTCTGCTGAGCTCACTTTCCACTAGTACAGTAAGGATGCCCGGTCTTCCACTGCTTTACATTGCGCAGGTATCAGGCTACAAACCACACAATTCAAATATTCGAGGACCACTTGGCTATTCATTGTGGTAAGGCAGTGTGCATATAGGGACCACGTCACACGCACAGATCCTGTTCTCCTGTGGGTGATCATACCTCTGCTCCTGGGGCCTCCTGGTCCTGATCGTCTGCTTCCTGTCAACACAAACATCACCGTGAGAACGGGACCTTCCTGCACCGAAGGACACCCGCACTCCTCTCGGCTCTAACCGAGGGACCGGGCGCGGTGCCCCAAGCACTTGCGTGGACAGGTGACGGCACAATCTTTTTTATCCGGCTTGCATAACTGTAAATTAAGTAAATCAATTAGAAAATGATGGAATATTTCAGACAGTAATATTTTATTCATTACTAAAATACCCGGTCACTACAGAGACAATGAATCAATGAGTAATATTGCTGGAACACACTGTGAGCAGTGGGAGGCGGTCCGGACCTGCTCTACCTTGTCCTCCTGCTCTGGGGCGGCCCTCTCTATCCCCGCTCCCTCCTCCTCCTCCATCTGTACAGGGGGCTCAGGTCTCTTGGCCAAGCTGCCCTGTGGACGAGGTTTCTGAGGGGCTTTTCGGAGCGGCTCTTCCTTCCCCTTTCCCTTCTTCCCTTTCTTCACCTTCTCCTCCTTACTGGAGCCAGAGGACTGTGGGGACGAGAGCGAGCAAGAGAGGCCCAGGGTGAGTGAGCCAGGGACATGGACACAGGCGTGGGGAAAACAGAAAATCTCAGGGAAACAGAGGTAAGATGAGGGCGGATTTAAATAAATGCTTGTGCAAACACACACATCCTCCTAGACAAACACACGTGCGACATTCCCCAACGGCAAGGCCTCACCCCCAAGAGTTTCATCCGTAGCTCCCGGTCCTCCTCGTCCTGGTCCCTGTACTTGTCCTTAATCTTCTTCATTTTGTTCTGGGTGATAAAATCAAGACAACGACCATCACTAGCAGCCTGAAGGCTCTGCACAGCTTGGCACCTCAGTACCTGTCAGAGTGAGTATAGTTCTACTCCCCACCTCGCAACCTTTCTTGTCTAATTCTGGTCTTCTGTCTGTCCCCCAGGCCCGTCTTCAATCTATGGGTGACAGGACCTTTTCCTGCTGCGCCCCAAAGCTCTGGAGCTCTATTACTATGGATATCAGAGAGTGTCCTTCCCTGAACTCCTTCAAAAATAGACTGAAAACCCTTCTCCTTCAGAAGGACTTTTATTTAACTTGTTCTGTGTTGCCCCTTGGTTTTCCTACACCCCCATCTACTATCTTCCCTCAAGATAGTAGGGGTTCTTCTCTTTTATTTGTTGTTGTTCTGTAAAGCTGTAAAGTGACTTTGAGAAGCCACTTTTAAAGGTGCCACATAAAAATGTCACTATTATTATTATAGTGCTAAAGGAAAGTATTTTTTCACAGCACAGGTCCTCTTGAGTCCTAGAATGGTATTATCCCCCACTGTGCAGACAGATATTCCCCATTTGCAGCAGGCCTGCCCGGGTAGTGTACCTTCTGGCCCCTCTTCAAGTGCTGGGTGGGACCGGTCTTAGGTGGGTTTTGCTTGCTCTGGTTGTCTCCAGAGGAGGTCACAGCGTCCTCCTTCTTTGTCTCCGCTTCCTCTAGGTCCTCAGGTCCGTTCTGCTTCTTCTTCTTCTTCATGTCCCTGGACAGAACAATCCATCAGGGCATATTTCCTTAACACTACAAAACCCACAAAAGCCGAAAAAGGAAGAGAGGTGGGGGAGGGGCCCTTACCGTCTTTGTTTGGCTGTGAGATATTTTTTTGCCTGCCCGTCACCATCAGCCTGTAAAAAAGCCAATTCTTCATTAGACACACGATTCATCAGCTGTGAACACATTGGGGAACTATCAAGAACTGTCTAAAGGAAGGAGCCAAAACGTTCAACTTGCAGACATATAAAGAATATTTTGAATATTTTCCATTTGTCTTTCTGTCTGAGAGTGGATGTATGGACCCTCTAATGGGATCATATTAACTATAAAAAGCTTATTCTGATTCCTGTAAAATCCACAGAGTTCTGGTGACCCTCAGTGACCTCACGGCGAGCAAGCCCCTCGGGGAGCTCTCACTGGTCACTTCCCTGTTTGAGGACCACAGGACCACAACGCCGGAGCTCACCTGGCTGGATGGCTCATCTTTAAACCCCAAAGATGTGCTTTGCATGCTCCTGGATAGAGAAATACAAATTCAGGAGTCAGGAGCTGTTACAATTATCGAATGGCATACATCACATTGTGTCGTATATCAATTTAGCAGTCATCTTATATATGCGCACACGGCCCAACTTGATCATCACTTGAGTTTTTGATGATCATTTTGACATCATATGAAATACACACCTGAAGAAGGCTCCACGGCCGAAACGTTGTGTTCTCTTTCTTCTTTTTTTCAGCAGGGAATAAACCTATTACTTGTTCCTTTGCAGCCTACGCATGCTGACGCAGCTACCCACCTGAACTATCATATGAAATATTTACATCAAGTGGTTAATTACACCAGAACTTTGTTCTACTAATTTGTAAATATTGTATTTGGTATTGAAGAAAGCTGGCAATTTTTCAGTTTCAATTTCAATCTTTGCAATTTAGCTGGGATCTTGACAAACAGGAAAGGGCTTTGTATAAGGTCGGCAGCGTTCCTGATTCCAATACCTGGTAGGCTGGAGGTGGGAGAGTGGGATAGTGGTGTCCGGATAGCAGATCTCCTGGCTGTCGTCTTCACTCTTCACAGCTGACTCACCCTCCTCTTTCCCCTCTGGGTCACCTGGCTCCCCCTGGCCCAGGCCCTCCCCCTCTGAGGGCTCCTCAGGCTCCTCGGGGTCCGACTCCTCGGATGAATTCTGGTCCAGTTCTCCATCTTCACCCTCCTGCTGCTGCTTCTGCTCTCCAGTGCCGTCTTCCTTTCCTGGGCTCCCTGTCTCCACCGGCCTCTCCTCTCCTTCGCCCTCACCCTCATTGCTGCTCTCTCCCCCTGTGTGCAGATCGGGGGGGACACCGGACAGGAAGATCAAGAAATAATTAGAAATGGTCTCACATTAGAATAGGCCATTTAGCTTATTTGGTTGCTAGAAGCTTGTTGGCCTGAGAATCTCTTCCAGACAGGTTAGTTTATTGACTCCCACTTCACTGGGTAGCCTTATTGCAGTCTCCCACTATGCTTTGTGTAGGAAAGTGCCCCCAGTTATCATTTTTAGACGTCACAACCCCATATTGCAGTTTTGTCTTGTTAGTAGGCAGGACAGTAGCACTACCTCGGTGAATACGGTGTACTACAAGGCAGGTGTCTGCAGTGGCTTAAGATTCACAGAGATCCTGATTTTGAGCCAGCTTACAAATAAATGCACTTCTGAATGCACATGTACAAGACAACAGGTGTGAGCATGCATCTATTAGCTACGGTTACTTTAGAGGAAGTGCTTACCTGTGAGTTCTGGACCCTCAATCAGGAGGTCAGCTGTACTGCTCGTCACCGAGTCCATGTCTTCCTCCACCGTCTTCACCTTCCTCTCTCCACGGTGTCTCCACACACACGTCTCATCTACCTGCCCAAGTGCACACAGGCTACCGTCACGCCACCGTGTGCATCACTGTCCGAATCTGTGCCAGTGCTCCCCCTGCCCCAAACACACATTCCCAGTACGCCAACACCACCCTTGCAAATCTAGCACCTGCCCCGGTGTAGTGATGGGATCACTGTACAGTACAAAAGGCACCATCCTTCAGGTCCTGACTCTTCGTGATCATTAAAAATCTCAGGGTGTTTCTCCAAAAGAGTAGGGGTGTTACCCCGTTATCCTGGCCAAATTTCTCTCCTGGCCTTTACCAGTCATGGCCTCCTTATAATCCCCCTCTCTGAACTGGCTTCATCACTCTGCTCTCCTCCCCATGGAGAGCTGGTGTGTTGGGAGTATACTGGCACACTTTGAAAGCCGTCTCATCATCCAGGTGGGGCTGCACACTGGTGGTAAAGGAGGGGAGTCCCCACTATCTGTAAAGCGCTTTGAGTGGAGTGTCCAGTAAAAGAGCTATATAAGTGTAAGCAATTATAGAGCAGCCAGTGCTGCCCTCTGGAGGCTGCTGGGTTTTGCTTTACAGTGGGAATGTCAGTGCATTCCTCCCGCTGGGACAGCCTCACCGCTTACCTTGAAGAGGAAGCCGAAGCCCATCATGAGGTAGGAAGGGGGGAGAAAATTCTTCTTCCCTGAAAAGAGACAAAAAACGCTCACTTACTTGGTCTTTGAACGTACTGAGTTTCATCCTATAGTGAAAAGATGTCAAATAAATCCAAAATTCGATGCATTTTAATGGAAATGCAGCAAAAAGTGCGACCCGACATGGATAGACTTTTGTGCCACGTCAACTCTCCATGAGGTGAAACAGCAGAAGTGGTACCACCTTGTAGCCTGACCTAATCAAATCACAGAAGCTAAGCAAGATGGGAGCTGGTCAGTACAGAGAAGACAGACCCCCAAGCAAATCCAGACTGCTCTTGTCACTGATGTTGGTGGAACAGGAGGTGGCACTCTGTCCTACTGAATTTCATAAAAGGAATTTCTACACCGATGCATTAGTTTGAGGTCAGGCTATGAGGTGGCAATGCTGCCGTCAATATATACCCTAAGTACTTTTGCACTGCATTCACTTAGAGCCTCTGTATAACTTTTGTTAAGTTCCTTTGCTGATTAACATCTTTTAAGAAATTGGGGGGGGCATGACTCCATCTCGGCATGTGCTCTCTGTAGGACATTCTCACACAAACACATGAGACACTATCTTTAGTGGGGGCATTATTTCAGTGAACTGGGTTGTATCTGTTCCTTCTCTTTTGTGCAAACATGCAATTCATATAGTGAAACAACTTCGATTCACCCTGGCTGAGATTTTTTCAACTAGGTGAATACATTCCAGCATTACATTGCTGACACTGTCAGAGAAACAGTCAAATCAATCAATGAACAGGGAGATCCACAGCCTCTGTGGACAGCTGTTGCAAGTAGGACAGTGGACACAGGACACGTTCTGCACCTCGGATCATGAAGCTCCCAGTGGTTAGGTACTCTCCTGTGGGGGCTGTCTTGGACACCTAGAAAACAAATACAGACAGGCTTACAATCAGCACTGCATCTGGGATTGTCTCATCTTTACTTCTGCTCACCCCACTAGGATAAAGGGTCCTTTTGCACACAGCAGTCTCCACTGACATGCAGCAGATACAAGCTGCCTGTCTGGAGTAGGTGTGAGGAGGAGGAGACAAGAGGCAGGTGAAGGGTTATATGCTGTCTAGTGTGAGAAGCGAGAGAGGCATGGCAAGGCCACAGAAATGCACTGAAGGTGGGGCAAACCACTAGTCAGTGGGCAAAATCCGATTAGTGATTCAGCGTATGGAGACCTGCAGGGACAAAGTGTGTCAGGGTTAAGCATTGGTGCTGATATGGTTTAACAATCTGCTGCTAAACATCTGGAATACTACAAAAGAATTTGTGTCATACAGATGCTTTAATAAAAATGTCCAAACAAGAGCAACAATGCTTTAAGGGCACAGATCAGGTTAAAGAAATCTTTTCAGTCTCAGTAAACCACTTCAAAGAGGAAATGCTTTGCTATTATTCCAATAGATTGTTTAAAGGGATATTAAATGAGGGATAATAACGTAATCCCAAGTTTGTTTTTAGCTTTAATTAAACTTTTTGATGGATGTTTGAGTCTGTAACTAGAATTCACCAAGTGGAGGCGCCCAAGAGGCACAGCACCAATGGGGTTAGTGCTGTCTCCTGTGACATCCCAGGCACCTGCAGTGATGTCAGGGTGGGCAGTGAAGCTCCTGCACATCGCCACAGAGCTTGCAATACATGAAAGATTAATAGCTCAATGAAGGGTCAGAGGGGCTGGTCTTTACCTGCTCATTCTCCCACTGTGTGCAGAAATGTAGAGACAAAACTGACTACTTTGAAATTGGGTGTATATATAATAAATAATTGCTGACACTAAATTATAAAAAAACATTTGCTAGTTGAAAGTGGGAACATACCCGTTGGCATGCATGAATTCTGCACTGACCCCCAAAAAATCTTTACATTATGAGCTAACAATATAAAAATGACTCAGCAAGAAATTGGAGGAGAAGATGGAGGCACCTTTTGACATGAAGCCTGATGAATCATGCTTTGTGAGAGAAACAGCACACTAAGGTGGGCTGAAAGGCCTGCTCTTGTCTCATGGTTTTCTTCTCTTCTGCGGTTCGAGACTCACCTGGTGATGGTGAACCCACCAGGCGCTGGTGATCACCTTGGCATCCCAGGCAGCACTGTAGCACACAGCCATGGTCCCGGCCTCCGTGAGGGTGCGAGGAGGAATGGGCTCATCTGCAGCACATACCGAAACAACACAGCTGACAGGCACACGGTAACAATCTGGCTTAACCTGGGACACCAGGAGAACCATGACTGCAGTCTTCAGTCAGACAGAACTAAACAAGGCAAACAGTGTCATGGCAGAAAAAATAAAAGCTTAAAAATGACACACGGCAAACTGATTCCGCAGAAACAACCCATTTTATCTTTTTACGTTGCAGTGGGTGCTTTATATGGCGTTCCTGTGTGACTTTTACTGCAATTATCTGATAACTGAAGACCACAGAAGCATGGGTGTGGATGGAAAGGCCAGCAACACACAGTCCAAGGGGAATCCCTGACTCCAGGAGGCAGTGTATCGGAGGACGAATCCCTGACTCCAGGAGGCAGTGTATTGGAGGACGAATCCCTGACTCCAGGAGGCAGTGTATCGGAGGACGAATCCCTGACTCCAGGAGGCAGTGTATCGGAGGACGAATCCCTGAGTCAGGAAGGCTGTGCACCAGTAGCAGCAGATAGGAGTTACATGGTAATAGTTGCTTCAGAGGCTCACCTGATGGGTTTTTGATGACACAACTTGTGGCTCCATGGAGATCAGCATGCACATAAATGTCACCTATGAATGAACACAGGAAAAGCAGACACTGCCTTTTAACACCCTCAAACTGGAGTGGACAAGAAAGTTCAATAACCCCTGCAGGACTAATAATAATAACACCTACCTTTTAAATAGTGCTTTTCATCTTAAAGGAACCTAAGGTGCTTTACATATAGCAGCAGACACACTTAACATTTGGCAGGTATCTGCTAGTTGTCATTTAGTTCCATCTTAAAATTATTCAGTACAAAGTACTGTAGTTAAGACATTTTAAGATAAGATCAGATCACTTTATTGGCCATATACAATTTCTTGTTTTAGGAATTTGTCTTTTCTCATACCCCAACTTGCACTCCATGATACACACAGTCAGGGAGATAAGCTTGGGGTCAGAGTGCAGGGTCAGCCATTGTACAGTGCCCCTGAAGCAGTTGGGGTTAAGGCCTTGCTCAGGGGCCCAATGGATCAGGATTCCTCTGCCGGCTGCGGGATACGAACCAGCAACCTTCCAGCCACAGGCACAGATCCTTAGCCACAGAGCCACCGCAACACCCTATTTTAGTATTATCTGGTCTTGCTGTTTCCTTACAAAATGAGTTATACTGTAGGTGATCTGCACTCACTGTGACTATTGGTATGTTCTGTCCTGACAATCACGCTGGATTTTCAGAAAGGCAACTCTTTGACACAACTTTCTATCTTTCGTGCACTGGCTGGCTGTACAGGCCCCCACCTGGCTTCAGATATCTCTTCACAATCATTTCGTTTTGCTGTTGGTCCCGGCCGGCAATGATGAGGTAATTCTCAGAGCTGATGAACCACAGGAACTTTTCAAACCTGAAGCATGAAAATAGAAATAACAGCAAATCTCAACACTCAGACCCCTTGTGTGTTCACTGTGTAAAGTTTCTGAACAAAGCACAACCACAATACATGTGATTATTTAGATACCACACAATAACAAGTAAACATCTGTCAGGTTAAAAACCAGACCTGCCACTCTTCCTTACCAGTAGACTTTTCTGGCCTTCTGGATGGTGGTAACCGTCTGAACCTCTTTAAGCGTTTGTTTTGTTTTTTTCTCTGCAGACTTGAAAGCCTGCAGAATCAACAAAAACGACTAAGCAACACCATGACCACAGTGCAAGTTTTTAAAGTGAGGTGTTCTTTTCTAAAACAGACTTAGTTCTTGATCGACATCTTCTCTATAACTGACCACTGCAGAGCATTCCAATGCCACACCACATCACCTTTTCTGCAGCCTCCACAGTTTTCTGTTCTTTCTTTGCAGCATGCCGCTTGTGATCGTAGTACCTGAGAGAGAGAAGTTTGACAAGACTGAGCACTGGAACATGGAAAGATTACAAACAAGAGGAGGCTATTTGGTCTGCTGAGTAGTTAGTAGTTATTTAATCCAAGGATCTCATAGCCATTTCCTGAAATAAGCAAGGATGTCAGCTTCAACAACATGGCTGGGTAGCTTGTTCCCTACTCCCACAACCCTGCAGGTAAAGAAGGGCTATATGTTCTCATTGTTAAATGCACTAACACACAGTTTCCACTTGTGGCCTCTGGTTTGTGTTTCACTGGTCATTCTGAAGAAATCTGCTCAGTTGGCTTTGTGTCAACCCTTTGAAATGTTAATGAAGACGTGAAAAGAGAATGAGATCTGCATGTACTCTGACAGTGCTCAGTGATAAATCTGAGCCAGAAGACACGTCTGAAGCCAGTGTTAAGTGTCAGTTTTTGATATCAGTTTAAAGATCCAGGCAACACAGCCTGCCCAAAAATCATTTCCTCTTAGAAACCTTAGAAAATACTACACAATTTTAATAATAAAATAAAAAATCTCCACAAGGTGCTTGAAGTGTCCGGGAGAAAAAACATATCACAATTGTCATTAATTCTGCTAACGAGACCAAGTGTGAGAATGCAAAACGCTAAGCTAACAGTTTACTTTAACACTTAGTTTTTGCCCTAGTTTCACTTTTCTTAAGCTCCTTTTACCTATAATGTCTGGATGGAGAGCTGCAATTGAAAGAGCTGGAAATGTGGCAAAAAGTTATCTTCATAAATTGCTTTAAAACAAACATCATATGTAGAGTATTACTGTAGCTATCTCTGTTAACACTATGACGACCTTATAGGTAAAAAGTCTGCTATCAGGAACATACCTGTTAGGATCATGTTCATATTTAAGTGCTGTGCTTCTCCTAATGCACCTACAACACCGGTGTTGGAAGAGGCATGCGTGTGCCTGTGTTTAAATGCCAGTTAGGGTGTCCTTTTCTAGCACTCCAACTCACTTCTTTGCGTTGGCATACGCAGACAGGCTCAGGTCTACATCCACCAGCAGGGGCTTGTTTTTCTGCAGCTTGTTCTTCTGTGCCTTGTGTTTGCCCTTGTTCTTCTTCCCCTTCTGCGCTTGGCTTTTGTCTCCTCCCTCCTCCTCTTCCTCCTCCTCTTCCTCCTCATCAGACCTAGTGTACGGGTTCCTAAGATGCAAAGCAAGCCACTGCTCAACCATCCAAAACGTGTCAATTCCACTCCTTGTATCTTAAGTAGGGGATAGATTTCCATTGTTACATGCTCATAGTAAGTCTGGTGATTGGCTAGCAAAGGAGGTGTATTGTACTGAGCTCTAAATTGCAGCCCAAATTTCCATACACAGGTAGTCAGCTACAATACGTTTATACTTATTTACAGTACATCTGCTTGGGTAAAACTAGGCAATGAGAACAAGCCCACTGGTGAGAGACACTCACCGGAGCAGCATGGTGATGTGGTTGGTCTGCAGTTTGAGCTCCTTGATGGCACCGGCCACAGGGTCGCCCTGCGCCTGGGCCTCCTTCACAATCAGCCCGATCTCTGTCCAGTCCACCTGGTTGGCCAGGGCGCTCTGCACCACCTGCAGCGCCCGCTCCACCACCGGCAGGTTCATCTCCACCAGTTCCCCCTTCAGCCGGTCCAGCTCCTGCAACCCGCAGCACAGCCCTGTCACTCGCCCCGCGCCAGACACGCGCAGCACAGCCCTGTCACTCGCCCCGCACCAGACACGCGCAGCACAGCCCTGTCACTCGCCCCGCGCCAGACACGCGCAGCACAGCCCTGTCACTCGCCCCGCGCCAGACACGCGCAGCACAGCCCTGTCACTCAAACATGAAAACTTAGGGGATTCTCATCAGCGTGCTCTCTTATTTGGTGTGATTGATTGATTTATGTTCATCTGCATGCTCTTCTCTCAACTTAAAAACAATGCCCAAGACTTCTGATTAACTCGTGAAGCTGTTTCTGATTTGAGTCAAGAATGATTATTACACTTAACATGTGCTGCAGTTTCAGGTGGAACCTTGTGAGGTATTTTCCTTATTCCAGGACACCAAGCCCAACTCCGCATGCAGCTCTTTACTGTGCCCTCAGGCCCTGTGCCTTGTGCAGTCTGGTGGCCCTGTGCCCTGTACAGTCTGGTGGCCCTGTGCCCTGTACAGTCTGGTGGCCCTGTGCCCTGTACAGTCTGGTGGCCCTGTGCCCTGTCCAGTCTGGTGGCCCTGTGCCCTGTGCAGTCTGGTGGCCCTGTGCCCTGTGCAGTCTGGTGGCCCTGTGCAGTCTTGTGGCTCTGTGCCCTGTGCAGTCTGGTGGCCCTCTGCAGTGTTACCTGAGCTTGGTGCAGAGCTTCCAGACGTTGCTCGTGATCTCTGCGCACATTGTCCAGCTTCTTCAAGGCCTGCTTCTCCTGCTGCAGCGCCTTCACGTCAATCTTCTGGCTCTCCATTTTTGAGTAAAACTCATCCACTGCCTGGGAGAGAAAAATTATGCAAGTATCCGGTTAACAGAAAGGGAAAACGTGTTCTTCATAGACTTCAGGATCACAGAAACTAAGTTGTACTCATCTTTTCCTACTTATCTGACAATAACGAACTAAAACATGAAAGAATTAAAACAAAAATTAATCAACAGGGTAGGCATTTTAATCTTGGTTGCTTCATGTTAACATCAAGATATGAAGCCTGCATTTCAGTGTCCCTGCTTAGCCACTGGTAATGATAATGCAGCAGGTATCTCTTACCTTGTCAAAGGATTCAAACTCCACATAGGGGCTCTTCGAATGTTGAGCATAGAGGAAGGGATGAAACTCCTCGTACCTGCAAACACCAGCAAGTAAACGAAAATCAAATTAGAGTGTCTGGCAGAACGTAACCTAACACATCAAAAGCAACTTCCTAATCCCTCTGTGTATTTATTCATTTTCAGTTCCATTTCCCACAGAAAGGGTTAAAACATTAGTTAGAACACTCCCAATATTAAGGTGGCCATTGCGCATTTTACATGACTTTGAAATGTAAAATTAGGTTAAATCACATGGAGCATATTTAGAGATGCTTACGTGAGTAAATCTTCAGGAGGCTTGTCTGGAGCCAAACTAGGTTTCTTCTCACACTTCTGTATTATGTACCCCTGTAAATGAAGCCAAGCAAAAATAAAGTTAACAGCCAAGTAAATTATTATATGCAAATGAATACATGTAAACACTACAAACACAATGCAATGCAAACATATTCTCAAATAAATATTAAATACAATGTGCCTATGACTATTTGAGAGAGAGCAGATTTGTTTAAAAAAATCTCATTTCCATTTTGTCATTATTAATCAGTATTAATGCTGGTTTTCATATGAAAAAACACATATCCTGATATTTTAAACATCCCAGCATGAAGGCTATTGCCTAAAAAGGCACAGATGATTAGAAATTGAAAAAAAGAAATCATCTTATTGTAATAAATCACCAGCTTATAGATCCCTAGCAACGAACAGACCAGAATCCCAAATCACTTATATGACACACATCAAAAATACCTTTCCACTGAAGTTTGCAGATTTCTCCATAAACTCTTCTGCCTTCTTTAGAGCTGCTAAGACTTTAGGTGCCTCTGGAATATTAAAAACATTTTATAAGTGCAGTGCCCCTAACATAAACCCTTGAAGTACTCCACTACTTATGTCAATTTAATTTACTTTTCACATGTACCCTTTCTTACCTTTCCATTAGTAATCCTTAACCCAAGTACATGCATTATGGATTAACTCTGACCGTTCTTTTGCAGCGATGAAGAATAAAAACACCCTTCCCTCATTCACAAATACATTCAGAAATAAAAAAAAATCTCAATTACTTCACAGCAGTAGAGAGCAGGGCTGCCAATGATAAATCAGAGACTTAATTTGAAAATAAAGAAATAATTAAATCATTGTTTTACATTTTTTAAGTAACTGGACTGCACACTATTATTATACAGTAAATTCCAAAACACTGGACTCCTGAAGCTTCTAATAAAAAAATGCTTGATATTCAAGACTTCAAATTCATTTTAAAAAAGGAAAGAAAGTGAGGTTGGATATGTAGAATCTCTGTGAACCAATGGAGCAGGTGAAGCTTCAGGGACAGTGCTCATCTAGAACAGTAAACCCCTTGCCTCCAATTCTTTCCTAAGCCTAAGAGACGTGTCACAGCAGATCACTTATATGGTACCTAGAGAGACATCAAACTGGGCATCTGCTTTCACAAAGCCAGAGAAACCGACCTCCATCAGGCAGTGCTCAATTAAAGTTGCACCGTAGGCTGAAAAAAAAAGAGAAGGTAAAAAATTAGACTGAAAATAAAAAGAATAACCTCCAGGAAACTTAAAAAAGAATACTTTTCATTGAACAATATTCATTTACGAAGTTCAAGTAGATAGCTGCCTCAGCATGCGTAAGCTACAAAGGAACAAGTGAAGGTTAATAATGCTGAAAAGAAAAGCTGTAAGCTGTAACAGTACTTACGCAGATGTGGGTTTAGGATTCGTTTCACCTGCTCTCCTTTAGGGGCACTGGACAGGATTTCTGAGAGCCTGTATAGTACAAGAACAAACCTCAGCTCTAGACGACCAATATAAACTTACATTAAAAAACACCGGAAATACTTGATTTCATCTAAGTTGACTTTGAAGCATTATTTTTCGTGGAATGATGCAGTTGGTGCCCTTGCGCCACAGTGCCCTATATCATACCACCCACATGTGAAGAACGCAGGTGTCTATTCAGAAATGCCCCTGCAGGGTTGAGCGAATGATTAAGGCTGTGCGCCATGGAGGGAAACTGCTGAATCTTTAACAACTGTGCGGAGATGGAGATTGGAGGTACTGATCAGCCCCACCACCCACAGCCAACCCCTGCTCACAAACGAGCCGCCCTCCACCCAGCTCCTCCCTTGCTTCACTTAACCACCCAGACTAAGCCATCACCTGTCCAGGCTGATGAGGGGCTCCGGCGGCCTGGCGCTCTCCACGGGGTACCTCTCCCTCACTGCAATCTTCACATCTTCCGCCTCGGCCGTGCGAAACCTCAGCAGGTTCAGGATGGTGTACTCGTGATCGGTCAGGACTATGTTCCCCTGAGGAGACACAACACACCTGCCCCTCACTCTCCTGCCTGTCCGTCCGGCCATCCCGTAGAGGGCAGAGTGACATGACTCAAATTTTTATCCCTATATACGGCTGGGTGTATTACTGGAGCCATTTGGGTGAATTTTCTTGTTCAAGGGGGTACATCAGCAGTGTTGCACTTGGGATTTGACCCCACAACCTTTCGGTCACAAGTCCACACTGCTTTACACCATCTACATTACTGGACTAACGCACGAGGGGTGCGTCTACACCACTGGACTAACGCACGAGGGGCACGTCTACACCACTGGACTAATGCACGAGGGGCACCTCTAAACTACTGGACTAACGCACGAGGGGTGCCTCTAAACTACTGGACTAATGCACGAGGGGCGCCTCTAAACTACTGGACTAATGCAC